TTTTTGTGAACGCACCCGAGAAAGTGCCCCGAACTAAACTATTTCTGCGCTTTCTCCTTCGCCACATCCCGGGCTGAGCCAGGGTGAATTGTACCATACAGTAGACACACAAATGATGAAACGGCGCTGCCGGCTTCCCTGTGGCCTTTAAGCCAGAAAAACCGGTCCTGTTGTGCTGGAAACGTCCCCGCTTCAACAACCTTGCACCCACAAGCCACCTCGTCAAGGTTTGAGGAATGTCCGACTCTGTACAGAATCGAGGTTCCGCCTCTTGGGTCCAAATAACCAGGGACACAGATCGTGGGGAAAGAAGTAAATCTCACAGCACCACCAGAAGAGGGGAGATCTGCACGCGTTGCCATGGGGGTGTATTGTTTGTACGCAACTGACAACAACTGACAACATGTTTCGGGAACTCGCATTTTTCCGAGGAGAGCAGCTGTCTTAAAACGAGGGCAGTCCCTGGGAAAACGAGGAGAGGTGGCAACACTAGTGCAGACCTGGTCACGTGCCTGGCTATTGAAATCTGGGTCACATTTCACAAGTGCATTGTCATAATAGCAGTAAGTAATTAGGGGAGTAACAATTCAATGCCCTGCTAAGTGAACGAAGCGTCAATTAGAGCCGCGTGCCTTCGAGGTCAGAGCGCTGGGCCCAGCACAGCTGAGAGAACCTGGGTTCGAATCCAAGTTTCAGCAGCCAGTAATTTAAGCGGGATCTCGAGGGCATTGAAGTTGAGTGGGCTCAGCTGAGTCACCGATAAAAGCATACACCCCCCCTCCCCCCCATCAAATGACATTTGGTTCTTTGGACCTTAGTTTGGATAAATTCCAGTTATGAGAATTGTAAAATATCGGTTTGACTGTTACGTGACGAACATTCATTTCCGTATAGACGGGTGAGTGGGAAAGCGCTGCCACTTCTTGTGTGGATCAGAGGTCACTTGAAGGGGGGGGGGGGTCTCAGAGGCGGTATCGTGGTGTCAACTTCCGCGGGACGTTCTCGAACACCGAGGACTGCACTGCGCGACCACACCGCAGTGAATGTAGCGCCTCTAGTGGCTGCAGGGGTCTCAGGAACCCATTAAATACATTACGAATCTAAAACACTCATCGATTCTCACGTGCACGCTTCGATAAGTGCACCGTGAGCTTAAAGATCAATATTCATGAATAAATGCATCGTTGTAGCCGGAGGGCTTTACTAAGTCTCTTTACCCCGCATCGCGATAACGGCCTGCTTACATTTAAAGGCGCGTTGTGCACGTGGCAGGAAAGTGGAGCACTCAAGAGAATTGCAAACAAAAACACCATGCATGTGAGAGTCAATCGTGGTCAAGGGTCCACACAGATGGATTTAAGAATCAGTTCGATTTTCACGAAATGTGTGTCGTGAGCCGTGGCCGTGAACCACTCCGCATCGCGGCTCTGAGTCGCCAGCGTCTCAAGAGAGACAACCGTGGCTCCAGCACCTTGCCAGCAAACTGGGATTCGTCTGTGACGAAGGGGGCGAGAATGCTCGTATTTTATTTATGTGTGTACGTCTTTATACATGTGTGTACGTCTTTATCCCAATTGACTAAATTTGCTGTGTCATTTTCAAATGCGACAAATTGGACCCCCCACGCCGACACACAACGTCCTCTTCTCTTGGGGGAGTCTTGAACGTCCACTGCCAAGCGGATTGTGCGTGGCGTAATTGCAGTGATTACCGTTATCAGGGCCGGATTAAGGTTCTTGTAGGCCCTACGGCCTAGGCACTTCTGTGTCGTCGGCCTTGAGTGATACACTTCCCATCAGTTGGTGCTGCTGCTGCTGTCCCGTGTCACGAGTGCCGCCGCTGTCACTGCGTTTGTGTCACTCGGCACTTCATCCAGCCGCTGGACAGATGTCGTTACTGGTACGTTCATTATTTAGCCTGTGCCCGAATTCGATGGGAGCGCGCGCGCTGTGTGCCGCAGATAAGCAGATTTCATTGGAATTATTATTTTTAAAAAACAAGGTAAGCCTAAAAATATTATAAGCGAAAATGTCTTCAACTATTTTTTTTACGATGCTTACATTTTTTTTATCATACAAAACAAAACTTTAAAGAATAACTCGTAGGCCCTTTAGTTTTCGTATCCTATTAGATAATACGGCCCTGACTGCTGTGCGTAATAACCAGGGGGGACGGGTAGCTGCTGGATTCGAACCGCGAACCTCTGCAACGAGCGGCGACCCCCGCCCACCGCTGGGCCACGTCACAGCTCGAGCAGAGGGCCCCTGATGACGAGCCGGTGACGCCTGCGCGCGGCCACGCGCTCCGCAAACTCGCCACGCACTCGGCGTCTGCACAACCAAACAGCTCTCGAGCCAACGTAGACGAACGCAATCAATCGGTATCCTCCACCGCATTGCGGACAGAGTAAGGTGACGTCTGAACAACACGGGCGTTTCTGTTTTCCTGCGGCCAAGTTGCGCAACAGATCGTTAAGGTGCCGACTCCCGCATAACGAGCAGGGAGGAGAGGCACGTGACGTTGCGGTAGAGATTACGTGCCCTGGGGGAATGTGACATTTTTCATTGTCGCTTTACGTAACCGAGCGGTAGCCCGTTGAGATTCATTATCTTTGTGTCTCGGGCGAAATGGGCCAGGTAATTTCGTTACGTAAGGCCGCTGTGCCAACGTTGCCGAATTTATAAAGCAGCCAGACAGGCGGTCTCTCCGTGCTCAAATTGGCGATGCGCAGCAAACCCAATTCCGCTGATGGTAAAAATGTCACATCACTACCCTGGCCGGAACCAGTGTCCCGACAGATACCTCATTTTATCAGCCCCGAAGTGATGAAAATATCCCCGGAGTCGATTCCCAACCGGGAATTGAACCGACGCATTTGGGGTTTTGAGCAGAGCGCTTTACCGCAGCATCACCGGGCCCGATTCGATATTGCCGTGGGGTTTTGTTTTTTAAAGTAAAAATGTGATTTGGGGCCGAGACTGGTGCACGATAGCCTGCCGACACTTGCGAATGGTTAAATCGCGATGATTACATCACTCTGCGGTTGACATTACTAATTAGTGACCGTATCCGGAATCGAACTTTTCGTCTCCATGATAAAATGTTCTGTGGCAAGGGACACAAATCACCCAGCCAGTCAATCACCCAAACACGCAGCCACCCAATGATTAACTACCCAACCACACAACCACATAATCACCTCGTCACACAACCACCCAGCCACACAACCACCTAGCCACACAACCACACAACCACCCAACCACACAACCACCTAGCCACACAACCACCCAACCACACAGCTACCCAGGCATACAACCGCCTAGCTACACAACCACAAAGCCACCCAGCCACACAACCGCCCAGCAACGGAGCCACACGGCCACTCTCAACTTTACGGTGGAAAGATCGATGCCTTTTATGTGGGGCTGTGCGTAACGACCGTGACTGCGAGAGTGTCTCGAGCGAGCCGACGGTCCTGCAAGGCGTTGTTGCACAGACAGCACCAGCGGCAATGCACACAAAGTTTGGGATGCTCATCACTGGCAACCATAAAACAGGACGATAAAGATGGTAATCGAGATATGTATGATGCTATCATTTGGGTGTAGTCATATCGGTAATGAGCGAACGTTATTAGCGTACATAGAAACTGTACAGCGATTTAAAATATTTTATTCTCAGACGCATGTATGGTGAGCGCATGAATCGATTGTTAGCGACTAATTAATTCAGTGCCCCTTGCAAAATGTATCGCAATCACCACCACCACCATCATCATCATCTGATCAGACTGCAGGCCCGTCCGTGTAATTCACGCGTGTTATTTTTTCGGTGGGCTAATTTACCAGCGAATGCGTGCGATGTGTAAACACGCGCACAGGTCGGCCCCTGAGGATGGCTGTGAGTGGTACGAACCCGGTCACGGTGCGAGCAACCTGTTTTATTTTTAGTTCGCATCACTCGAAGCGCCTAAACGTGTACACACGGTGGTTACACGCCAGCATTGGGGCGCACTCGAGGGCAGGGTTGGTGGAGCGCGCGAAGAGGGAGACACGGTGTGAGCGAGAGACCCACCAGGAAGCCGGTTGGCGGCAGGATGAATGGTATATGCTAGCAATAGTGGATCGAACTCGTTTCTTTCCACAGACAAAGGTCCCCGTATAGCCTTGACAGAATGTAGGGGCAAGTGCTGTTAGCGAGCACCTATGAAAGCCGGAACGGTACACGAGGGGGTGGGTGGCCAGCACCACGCCCGGCCACCTTTGTCTCCCCAGTGGTAATGTTTTTACACAACACACCAGGTACTCATTTGAGGTTGAGTCGATCTAGGGGAGGCCCAGGACCGGTTTAGATAATCGTCACCGGTGTTGGCCGTGAGCGGGAATCAAACCCAGGTCGCTGGGTTCATAGCGCAGCGTAGCGCTAACCGCTACTCACAGACACACGCACACACACACAACAGGTTGGCCAAACGTCCCACGGCAGGGTCCTCCTGAACAGGAAGCCATGAGACTCAGTGGCACCTTCCCTGTTAAACCTGCTCAACAGAGAACGAGAAAGGCCCATTGCCTAAAACGTCGCCCATGGTATGTATTTCCTTTTCAAGGCAGCGTTATTCACGAGCGTGTTGAGTTTAAGACGACGACTACTATTATTATTACTTGTGCTTTTTGCACCACTGCCAACGCAGCAGCAGCAGCAGCATCACCAAATCACGTCGCGATTGATTCAGCACGCCCGCTGTTCGTGCGACTCAAGCGCATTGTCGCAACGCGCGACCGCGACAGATGGTGGCAGCTTCGGTTGGCGTTCATCCAGCAGCGGATCGATCGCGGCTGGCGGCGGCGGCGGCGACCCCTCTTCGACATCGCCGCCGTGCCGCTGCACATTTCCCCGCGAGCGTTCCGGTTCCTCCGATGGCCGAACGGGTCGTGCCGCCCCTCTCTCTCCGTCTCTCTCCCTGTGCGATGTTGACCCCGTGACCCCGTCACCGCCCGCAGGGAACACGGTGAGCAACGTGGTGATGATCGTTCCGCCGCTCTACGGGGCACTGCACACGCTGCGCTCCGGTCTCGAGAGGCGATACATCGCCGCCTTCCTCGGCCTGGCCGGTAACTCTCTCATCCACTCATCCTCTCACTCTCGCGCTCTCTCGGTATCACGTCAATCCACTGCTGCACTGGGGGGGGGGGGGGGGGGGGGCCGCTCCCCTTGCCCCGCGGCTCGTGGAGGTTTTCGTTGAGCGCGACTCCGACTAGCGTGGTTGGCTACGTACGGCGCGAAAGAAGTTCGGCATGCGTGCGCGCGTGCGTGCCGTCCTTCTTCCGGGGACGCTGCCGCGACCGCGACATTTGGCGCACGGCGCTGTCCGTCCGCAGGTCGCCGCCTTCATTTGATCCCCCGGCAAGGCGACCGCAGCAGGGAGGGCGCGAGCTTCCTGGACGCTCTGCGTCGACCCAGCGGTGTGGATAGCTATGGGATGGATCGCGTCTCATCGGGGGGTGAAGTGTGGGGCACTCCCACCTCTTCCAAGTTGTGCGGACACCTTCAAAGATGTCTGGGCGGCGTGAAAGAGTAGGCCAAATACCCCCGATGCGAGACAGCGAGGGGCTCTCTAGACCCCCCTCTAGTGGAGGACCTTCCGCCAGCAGTGGCGTGAGCGAGTAGTTGCAGGGTTACATTTTATACTTCACCACGCTGGTCAACGTGGGGTGGTGAAGGCAGGGAGCATAGGCATGAGAGAGCAGTACAGTCCAACAGTGGGTTTCGCTTCACCGTCCTCTGCTGACAACATTGCCCCGCAGAAGCCCGCAGCACCTGTGCGTGATGGCCGTCCATCCAAACGCTGTCCAGGCTCAAAATCCCTGCTTAGCTTTTTGAGATCTCACCAGATCGGGCGCATTTGGGGCGATGTGGTCATGTGCGACCCCCTCTCACGGGATTCATCATTGGCCGGCGCCCGTGAGAGATCCCCGCATCCCAGACCTGGGTTCGGGTGGTCCCGCTGACAGGGAAGTTCATCAATGGCTGCGCCAAAGTCTCACCACTGTCAAGCTGTTCAGGTTGGATGTGGGGCGTCAGTCGCCCACGGTCAAAGCTGGGTTCTGAAGTGCAGTGCATGTCGTGATGGCTTCAGCCTGGTGTGAGTCACGAATGACTCCACACACACACACACAAAGTGCGACCACTGGCGTAGCAATGTCGACCTTCTCTGTGGCTTGTAATGGCTCAGCCCGCCCTGGAAGGCATCGTTATGGAAATGAGCAGGATAATTTAAAGTTTTGTCATTTTAATGTTCGCTGCGGCGTAATTACACACGTGCACGGCCAGCGCGTGGGTTTGGGGACAGACTGACGCACTGGCCACGTGCGGACGTGGTCAATGAGCAGTCGTTTGGTGACTTTGGTTTTTGCTGCGGGTCGCCGAGCACGCAAGGCGAAGCAGCAAACAAGGAACACCGTCGAAGTTGTACTCGACACCAGTGGGTGTGCTTCTCGAAGTGCGTGAGGTTGTAAGAGCCTTCAGAAGATAATAATAGTAACGATTAAAACGAATGTAGCGCCCTTAAACACCCCAAGAGACGGTGGCAGAGGGGGTTCCTCACTGGAGTAGAATGAGAAGGTCTGCAACCTGCAGTGTCGTGGCTCGCCACAGTGTTGTGGTTGTCCACAGTGTTGTGGTTGTCCACGGTGTGGTGGTTGTCCACGGTGTTGTGGTTGTCCACGGTGTTGTGGTTGTCCACGGTGTGGTGGCACGACTCGGTGTGATGGCCGAATGCAGTGTTGTGGCCGATCTCAGCGTGGTGGCTGGTACACAGCGTGGTGGCTGGTACACAGCGTGGTGGCTGGTACACAGCGTGGTGGCCGGTACACAGCGTGGTGGCCGGTACACAGCGTGGTGGCTGGTACACAGCGTGGTGGCCGGTACACAGCGTGGTGGCTGGTACACAGCGTGGTGGCTAGCCGCAGCATAGGTGAGACCAATGGAGTTACCGTATAATGATTCTCACAAACACATGGACTCGTGCGATCGAGAGTGGATTATTCACCTTGCGCGGGTCAGACACACGACCGTCGGCACACGGCAGAGCGGAGGAGAGAGGCGGATGCCGTGGGAGCTGTGAGACGCCGGGGGGAGACTCGCGCGTGCACGCGGCATTACAACCACCGTCCCTCTCTCCATCCCTCCCTCTCTTCTCCTTAGTTGTTGGCATCGGGTCCTGGTGGTTTCACATGACTCTCCTCTACCACATGCAGGTGAGTCAAGTGTCTCGTTGTTTTATGTTCACTTGCCCCGGGGGACAGCCTCACTGTTGGGGTCGCGGGAGCTTTTCGGGAGGGCTCCTGATAACTATTCGCAGTTGGTGGCTACAGCACCGCTGTGCCGTTTCCCTAGCCGAGCAACTTGCGGTGTCAATTTTTCCCAAATTCGGGCAAATTCAGACGGCGATGCCGGCACACAAACAAACTGCGGCCCACAACGTCGCTGGGTCTTGGGCGGGCATTTTAACGGCTAATCCCGCACCGTGGCATTAACCAGGGTGGCACCCGTGCCCCGAACCGCAAACCCCAGCGACGAGCGAGCGTGACGAGCCACCGCCAGACGGGCACGTGGCGTCGCGCGCGTCCTGCGAGGCAGCGCGCAGCGTTGCGTGGCCGTCTTTCTCAGCTCATTGGATTCCTCCAGGATCACGAAATATTTTTTATTCAGAACGAGTCGCGTGTGCCGGCGTCACGGTCAACATTTGCCAAATTTGAAAGATTGCACTCGCAAGTTGCTCAATTTGTGATCGCCACACCGCCTGCTGTGAAACTTACTGCAGGCTTCGTGAAACACAGTAGGGCCCTTCCGTCGTGATAGCCTTGCCACTATGAGAACAGCGCGAATACCAATTAACATTGGTCTGGAAAGCCAATAATGCCGTGCGATTAAAACACGTCATTATTTATATGTCGAGCCATGTGGGATGGTGATGGCACACGATGAATCCGTGTGGTCGTCTTTAATGCCAGGCTCACAAACCCTGAGCTGGCGTCAGTCACAACCGTGAACGTGGATTTTTTTTTGTCCCCACGTATTAATTTTTATTTCGAACAAACACTGCTGGAAATTGTAATTATATCCGGACCCTGGCTTTGCTCGTAACTTAATCATCAGCAGGGCGATCGGTAAACGGCAGCAAATGGGTTTCTGGGCCACCTTTGTGGGTTTTTGTTGTTGTTGAGTATTTTGTCTCTGTATGTGCGTGTTGTTGTCTCCATCTGTGAATACTGCCGCTTCTCCTAACAATATTTCACAAACCTCACCGCCCAAATATCCCTTGACCATTCATCAAATCGCGGAGGGGGTAAATGGACGGGCATCTTGGAAATAAGGTCAGAGATATAAAGATATTACAGAGTTCTAAAGAGTTATAAAGAGATTACAGAGTTCTAAAGAATTATAAAGGGTTTATAAAGACTTCTAAAGAGTCATAAAGAGATATAAAGAGTTATAAAGAGATATAAAGAGTTATAAAGAGATAGTTATAAAGAGTTATCAAGAGATATAAAAAGTTATAAAGATATATAAAGAGATATTATGTAGTTATAAAGAGTTATAAAGGGTTTATAAAGAGCGACTTTCCTTGATATATATAAATAGTGGCTCCTCTATGTAAAGGACAGGGGATCGTCTTTTTGTGATGAACTTGTCTGACCAGAGTTTCCATACCGTGACCCAACACACAAGTCATCTGATTTACAAGTAAAATGTTGTACAGTTACGCAATCATCGTTATGAAACGATATTTAATTTCGGCTTGCACAATGCATTTTTTTCCCCGCGTATTATTTTAAAGTCAGCCCACTGGACACTTTGGTCCGATACGTGAAGAGACTAACATAGGTTCCATACGCAACGTAAATCCCACAGACTAACGTGGGACCCATAAATCTCAAACATCGATGAATACCGAACCCCATTAAACCATCATCACCCCGTCGATGTATCCACACTCGCATCCACTCACCCATTCAGTTCGCTCGTGTGCACGCGTCGACCACCAAACTTTGCAATTCCTCTTCCAGCTGCTGGACGAGTTGCCGATGATCTACAGCTGCTGCGTCTTCGTCTACTGCCTGTGAGTGCAAGCGCGAACCTCCCCCCCCCCGCCACGAGAATTGCAACTCGTCTCACCTTACAATCGTGGATGTTGCGCCTTCGCTGAGACGCTTCACGAAGAGTTGGCAGCGGTGCGCATGGATGTGACGATGGAGGTGGATTAAGTAGACAGAGAGGAAGCGAATGGGGGGCGGGGAGAAATCTTTGATGCGTGAATTCGGTGAAAGCGAAATTGATTACGGTGAATGATTGAAGGGATGGTGAATGAGTGAAAGCCGTATAATGAGAATGTGGAGAGGGAGAAGTAACGGTGGCGGATATGAGGGGGAGATTAAGGGGGTCGTGGGGCGAGCTAGGGAACAAGAAAGTGAGCTTTGAGTGCGCAGCGGAAGCCAGCGGATGAAGGTGACCGCTTAATGTGGAGGGGGAAGTTTGTTCCAGTGAAAGGGGGCGAGAAGAGAGAAAGCAGAAGCGTGGATTGACACAGAGATAGAGAGACACAGAGAGAGAGAGACACACAGAGACACGGGGATAGAGAGACACAGAGACAGAGAGACACAGATGGCCACGGGGATAGAGAGACACAGAGACAGAGAGACACGGGGATAGAGAGACACAGAGACAGAGAGACACGGGGATAGATAGACACAGAGATAGAGAGACACAGAGATAGAGAGACACAGAGATAGAGAGACACAGAGACAGAGAGACACAGAGACAGAGAGACAGAGACACGGAGACTGACAGAGTATTGTTCACTTCCACACGTTAACTGCATACCAAATGGGTAAAGAGGGCACCGATCAGTCCGTGCGAAGCCAACAAATGGTTTTCCTACGGAATCACCGTCCCCCATCATGGCAAAGTGGAATTTTGCAGAGGTTTAGAGGCCGTAAACAGACTTAAAATCTGCTTTTAAACAGAGACTGACGTTAACTCTTACCATCACTGGAATCGCTCTAATCATGTTTCCCAACCGTAGTTAATTTATGATTGCATTGATCCTGTGAATGGGAATTGTTGCAAATCGTTCGTCATTTTAATTGCAAACACAGCAGTAAGTGCTTCGTGTAAGTAAACTCCCGCATGAAATGCCCAGGGTCTATTCGGAATTAAAATATAAGTGCGACAATTAGATTACGGTCATGTTTAGGGTTCAGCACTTCAGGCTCTGACAATCGATCGTGGAGATTGGCTCGAGGAATTTGTAAGAGAGGCTATTAGTATCGATTTGTAAAGCGTCGCTTCATCACGCATTGAAACAATCATGCTGTAGAGGAAAAGTTTGCTTACGCATAGCTCGTGTGAACAAAGGCCGGCCGGGCGTGGTGCTGGCCACCCACCCCCTCGTGTGCCGTGCCGGCCTTCATAGGTGCTCGTGAACAGCACTTGCCCAACAGTCTGTTTAGGCTATACGGGGGATCTTTGGCTTTGTATGCATGTGCGAAGGAGAGGTCACCATTGGTGACGGATAATCCGATCCATTACTGGGCCTCCCCTAGGTCGATTCGGCCTTAAATGAGTAAGCTGGTGCGATATGCAAACATCGCCACTGGGGAGACAAAGGCGGCCGGGCGTGGTGCTGGCCACCCATCTCCCCCCCCCCCCCCCCCCGTGTGCCGTGCCGACATTCATAGCTGCTACTCGCTAACAGCACTTGCCCCTACAGCCTGTTAACGCAATGCGGGGGTGTGGGGGGTCTTTGTCTTTGTCCCAGCTACGAATGCTTCAAGCCCAAGAACACGCACAACTACCCGCTGGCGGGGCTGCTGTGCGCCTACAGCCTGCTCGTCACGGCGGTGAGAGACAGCAGCAGCAGCAGCTCTGCTGGGCCCTGGCACGCTCCCAGGACCCACGCACATTGATTGGGGAGACCGCCCTTGCCTGAAGCCCCTGAGGCTAAGGTGTTGACGTCGCTCTGGGTTTGTCAAAAAGCAAATAGAAATTATTCGTGGCGAATTAACAGCGCCTGCAGCCCTTCGTCAATTCGGCGGCGGGTGAAAGGCCTCGTCCCCGCGCCGCGTGGGATGTGGCCGCTGTTTGACGTCGGTGGGTGCGGACCGGCGAGGGCGGTGAGCACACACACGGGAGCATAGAAGTGCAGGGCAACGATTGTGCTGCACTGACCGCTGCTGCCCGCAACGTAGCCACGCAGCAACCTGTGCCTGGTGAACACCGTCTGTGCGCTAGCCAGGCTCAAAGGCTGCTGAGCTTCCAAGGATGCGCGTTGGTAGTGGCCGTACACGGGATTTGGTCCGTACATATTATTAATGTAGATTGTGATGGGATGTTTTTAGCATGAATGGCGCGATATAAAAAGAAAGATTTTATTAATATATAACGTGATTGGGCGTGTTCTTAGTGGTTTTAGTCATCCGATAATGCAAGAGTAATATATAAATATTATATATAGATGCCTTGTGATGGAAAGGTTGCATATTGGTCCGCATGCAGCACTTATGAAGCCGATGCCCCTCCCTCAGCCGAGCCGCACTGACCGGCGTGGTGAAGTATGGTCAAGCAACCCCCATTAACCGACATGGCTTGAAGAGGATCTAATCCAGCAGTGGATTGACAATGTGCTCATTTAATCGAAATCCGATGGGCTTTGAAGCTCCTTTTTACGGATGAGAGAGGGGCGATAGTGGCCTTAAACGAGGCAAGGGGATGACAGTATAATAGTATGTTGTTGAATCTATCTGTGTCGAGTTTGGAGTGTTACCTGCAGGGGGTTTCTCTCCCCACCCCGATGTCCACCCAAGTGAGAAACATGACTGGGAATTGACACTTTGCCCTGACACTCCATGAGGCTTTCTTGAGTAATGCCAAATTATCATCATCACCATCGCCATATTCTCTGAATTACAAAGAGGCGCTGGATAACAGCAGTCAACCCAAACTTGTGCTCAGAGGGAGAAACATTTCATGGAGGGACAGGCCGCGGTCCCTTCATTTCAAGCATAAAAAAATTCAATTTCCGTGGTAAATATTAATTAAATTTCAATTAACATTTTAGGACTCTCAAGGTGGGGGAGGGGGGTGAGTAATTGCCCCCCCACAGCCCCCAGCTGAGATCTGCCACTGCTTCTGACCACTGTCAATGCGGTTATACAACGAAGACAAAGATCCACCGTATAGCGTGAACAGACTGTCGGGGCAAGTGCTGTTGGCAGGAACCCATGAAGGCTGGCACAGCACACTAGGAGGTGGATCGCCGCCTTTGTTTCCCCAGTGGCGACGTTTACACATCGCACCAGGTACTCATTTGAGGCTGAGTCGACCTAGGGGTGGCCCAGAACCAATTCAGAAAATCGTCACCGGTGTTGACCATGCAACTCTGGTCACACGCTCACCTACCGCTTTGTAGAAAATGACGCACCCCCAACGTTTGCTTTAAAATACCGGTTAAAAAGGGTGCGTCTTATACTCTAATCCAGAGAATACGGCCTTTGCCAAGCGGACTTCCCCACCAGGAGTTTGACTCTTCGCAACAAACCAGGAGGTGAACTCGCAACAAATCCGGAGGGCGGGGGGCGGGGGGGGCCGGGGCGGCAAGGGGGGACAGGGTGGACGGCCACACGTCAAACCAAGCCACCGTCGGCCCCGTGGAAGGGAGCTGATTGACTGAACGACCCCACGACTGGACGGGCGGGCGGACGGAAGCGAGATGTTCCCGCCGTGGATCGAGTGAAATAAAAACCGCACCGCGCGCTCGGCCACCCCCCACCGCCCACGTCGTCAAAGTCTGGGACACGGAGAGCGAGTAGCGAGCAACGAGTAGCGAGCAACGCAGAGGACGGCAGAGCTCGCACGGGGCGTCGGCGCTCCGGCGCTCCGACGCCCCGAGCGAGCCGAGTGACCGTGGTCGCATCCCGCCGGGAATCCCCTCGCCCAGTCCCCAGGTGGCTCGCGCCGTCGGTTTGTGTCCCGCGGTTGCTGTCGTTCTGCTGCTGCTGTTGTTTTGTTTGCTAACGATTTGTTTTTGACACAGGTCTACCTGTCGTGGAAGGAACCAGTCTTCCACCAGGTACTCGCGTCTACGTGACCCCAAGCGTGTCACCGTGACATTTTACGGCTCTGTAAAGCCACTGCTGGACGTAGGACTCCTCGCGAACCGTTCCGTCAGGGTGGTCGTGTGACCATACTTCGCCACTCTGGTCCGCGCGCATTGGTGAAATGGGGGACCCAGGCCCGGTGTGAACGTCACGCGCCGCTGCTGATGGCCGTGGCCCGGAATCGAACACCCTCAGCCGTCCTTGGTGACCCAACCTTTTCAAAACGACACGTGGAAATGCAAACATGCAGAAGGGCCATAGCCCGAAACGTCTATGGCCCAACGGTGGCTAGGAGATGTTAGCTACCTCGCCTGGTATACAGGAGGTCGTGAGTTCGATCCCGACCCTGACGCCTGCTGCTGCTGTATATGTGGAGTTTCCGTGTCTCTCTCCCAGTGGTCGCGTGGATTTCTCTCCGGGTCCTCCGATTTTTCCCTCCACATTTAGAATCAACGTCACCACGCGTTTAGAGTGTTTGGCTGCTGCTGTAAATGTGCACGTGATGATGATGATGATAAACCACTTCGCTGAGCTATGATTCGTGGCCAGGTCGCTTCTGAAAAAGAGATACACAGCTCAATGTGGCTTGCCTGGTAAAACAAAAAGTTAAATTAGTTGTCGATCTTATATATTCCTCCCCATTTAAGGCGGCGGTTGTCACATTCGACGGCTGTGGCATTCACTCGAGCGCCCTCCTGTGCTCCACGTGGCCCAACGCAGCCGCGCGCGGTCGCACTGCCGAGGGTCACGTGGCGCCCTCTGCCGGCGACGGCCGCGGCCTCCACGCTCCGCCCGGGCTGCAGGAGGAGCAGGGGGAGCAGGAGCAGGGGGAGCAGCAGCAGGAGGAGGAGCGGGGGAGCAGCAGGAGGAGCAGGAGGAGGAGCAGCAGGGGGAGCAGGAGGAGCAGCAGGGGGAGCAGCAGGGGGAGCAGCAGGAGGAGGAGCAGCAGGGGGAGCAGGAGGAGGAGCAGCAGCAGGAGGAGCAGCAGGAGGAGCAGTAGGAGGAGCAGCAGGGGGAGGCCGCCGCCTTCCAGCGCCAGGCCAGGGCAGGGCCATGAGCGGGCACATCGAGGCAGCGAAGCAGACGAACTGAGCAGAGCACGCCCCGATATTAATTGCCCGATATGAGGCCACTCTCGCATCATTTGTTTGGGCCACGTCAAGGGCATTGTAACCAATCATCACTCCGCCACGGGTGGCCCAAATCCTGTTCATTTGTAGTCCATATGCCATCTCGAGAGGCCCCCACCCACCCCACCAATGCGCACCTGGTGAAGTGTGGTCTCAAAAGCCCCCACGGCGTGCGGAGGCCTTCATCCAGCAGTGGAATGACAAAGGGCTGTGTACATTGGTAACACTGTACTATGAGAACTAAGTCAAAGTGAACTCCTGCTCAAATCAGCATGGTGACATTGGTGAGCATCACCTATTAAACAGCCCTGACCCACTGATAGAAATTCCACGTTGCTATGGCAGGTGCAGGTTTATCTACAGGACAACCGCCGTTGCCTTCCGCACAAAGTGGTACATATTTTATCGACCGCAATTTTACATTGGCTTGTGCATTGTATGTATGTTGAACTTCTTTCGCACCGCACGTAGCCAAACGCGCGTTCCAATGCAGCCACAGTGCCTTTTATTGCATTCTGTACGCGATTTCTAAACTGCGCAATGTCACGTTGGCAGGTGATGTACAGCATCCTGGTAGCTGCGGTGGTGTTTCGAGCTGCGTATATCGTCACCTGGTAAGATCATTCGTCAAATAGAACCACCCACAGCATGAAAGCGTAGTCGGGATTTCGTGGACAATGTTATCCATCGTAGAGGTTGTTTTTGGGTTAGATCGTGTAAATATATAAATGTTGTGTCGTGAAACCCGCCACCACCCGGCACAACCAATTAGTAAGGTGTGTCACGTAAACAGAAATGCCAATTCGTTACTAGTACAGCACATCGGTGTGTTGGAGAGTAAACCCACTTCATTTACAATTTGAGTACGACGTTTCGCCAGTAATTACAACCAGCATCATCAGGCGACAACCTCAAAACTGACTGTCACCTGATGATGCTATTTGTAATTACTGGCGAAACGTCGTACTCAAATTGTGAGTCTGTGGGTCTCTACGCGAGTCTGTGAGTCTGTGGGTCTCGCTACGAGTCTATGCGAGTCTGATCGTGACCACGGCGGAGTGACGTTCATCACCAAAGACAAAGATCCCCCGCATAGCCTAAACAGACTGTTGGCGCAAGTGCTGTCAGCGAGCAGCACCCATGAAGGCCGACTTAAATCGCCGCACAGCCCCGGGCTCCATTGACAACTGCCGACGATTGCCCGCCGTCTCGCCCGCTCCTCTCAGGGTCTACCCGCAGCTGCGCCCGCACGCGTACACGTTCGTCGGGGTGTTCCTCGCGGGGTTCGTGCTCTGGAACGTCGACAATATCTTCTGCAGCACCTGGAGGTGAGCGGGCGCGCCACCGTTCGCCAGGGCGGGCCCCAGATTCCCAGCCCGGGGCCACGCACGCACCGGCAGATTCGCCGAGGGAAGCGGAACGACGCCGGCCCCGGATTCCGGGGTTGAATTCTGGACAGCCGCCGGCGATTCTGGTGGGGATTGTAAAGTTCGGCGAGTTGATGACCTTTCGGCCTGCTCACCGATGACGTGACGTTCGGTTTTGCGCTTTACTCGCCCCCAGTCCCAGCTCTGAAAGTGAACTATACGCGCCTCGACGTCACGCGGCGGCTGTCACCGCCAACGGCACGGACGGCGCAGAGGCAACAGTCCGTCTGTTTTTGTATTTGTGTCAAGTCCAGCTATGGAGCGAAACTATTGGCTTGACTGCCATGGCACAGTCTCAGAGGGGAGTGTGTGAAACCCCATTTTTTGAAGGATAAAAAGGGCATTGGAAGGAATTTTTAGAAGCCATGTGTTCTTCTTCCCTGCACCTCCAGAGATTCGCACGGTTGGCTACGTACGGTGCGAAAGAAGTTCAACACTCGCATAGACTCACACAGAGACCCATAGACTCACACAGAGACCCATAGATTCACACAGAGACCCATAGACTCACACAGAGAGCCATAGACTCACGCAGAGAGCCATAGACTCACGCAGAGAGCCATAGACTCACACAGAGAGCCATAGACTCACGCAGAGACCCATAGACTCACACAGAGACCCATAGACTCACACAGAGACACATGGATTCACAAAGAGACCCATAGACTCACGCAGAGAGCCATAGACTCACACAGAGACCCATAGACTCACACAGAGACACATAGATTCACAAAGAGAGCCATAGACTCACACAGATACCCATAGACTCACACAGAGTGCCATAGACTCACAGAGAGAGCCATAGACTCACGCAGAGACCCATAGACTAACACAGAGACCCATAGACTCACACAGAGACACATAGATTCACAAAGAGACCCATAGACTCACGCAGAGAGCCATAGACTCACACAGAGACCCATAGACTCACACAGAGACACATAGATTCACAAAGAGACCCATAGACTCACACAGAGACACAGACTCACAAAGAGACCTATAGACTCACGCAGATACCCATAGACTCACAAAGAGAGCCATAGACTCACAAAGAGAGCCATAGACTCACAAAGAGACCTATAGTTTGTTGTCCTTCCCCCGCACATCCCGAGATTAGCACAGTTGGCTACGTACGGTGCGAAAGAAGTTCAACGTACATGTGCGAAAAATAATTTCGACCTGCAAAATTGTTCTCCGACACGCAGCGAACTTCCCTAACGGACTCTTTGTATCGTGACGCAAGACCGATGGCGCAAATCGAATAAACTAACCGTGGGGGGGGGGGGAAGAATTGTCGCACAATTTGAACGAAAAATAATAACGAGATAATAACAATTAAAGGATGTCAGTGGAGTGTGGTGGCGGTGGAGTGTGGTGGCGGTGGAGTGTGGTGGCGGTGATATCGGTGGAGTGTGGTGTCGGTGGAGTGCGGTGTCGGTGGAGTGCGGTGTTGGTGGAGTGTGGTGGCGGTGGAGTGGAGTGTGGTGGCGGTGGAGTGTGGTGGCGGCGGAGTGTGGTGGCGGTGATGTCGGTGGAGTGCGGTGTCGGTGGAGTGTGGTGGCGGTGTGCTGGCGCTGGGGTGTGGTGGCGGTGGAGTGGAGTGTGGTGGAGTGTGGTGGCTGTGGCTTCATCGATTCTTTGCGTGGAAGATTTGTGCCAGAAACGCGCCACGGGTTTAAGCTAAAAATAAAATTGTCTCGATTTGTGGGTGACAGGAACATGCCTTCCACACGCCTTGCAGCTAACAGGAACATGCCTTCCACACGCCTTGTGGCTGACAGGAACATGCCTTCCACACGCCTTGCGGCTGACAGGAACATGTCTTCCACATGGCCGCTCGGCAGAACTGGTTTGGTTAGAATCTAGCACTGGAGCTCGTTAAACCCGCCACCACCCGACACAGCCGATTAGTAAGTTCCGTCACGTAAACAGAACGTGGCAATTCGTTACGAGCACACAGCACATCTGCACATTCCAGTGATCAACGCTGGCCAAGCATCCCGGTATAGAAGTACAGACCTTAGGCAATTACTGACAGTGGCTCTGACTGTCTTACTTACTTACCCGTGATTCCCCGTACTTATGAGTGAATATTTCTCTCTCCCTCTCTAAGGTGGGGGGGGGGGGGTAAGCTGTGAGTGTCCTACATTCTAATTAAGCCACTTGCTTGAGACTTATGAAAACATAAAATCTGGTAAAAACGTATGTCCTGATCAGAGGCCGTCACTCCGCACACATCAGACCGCCCCGAAGTGACTTCACAAAGCCGCAAGGAACAAAAGGAACATTGATGGTGCCATGAGGAAGACACACGTTGGATTTCACTCACATTTTAAATTGTCCTGGGTCTCCCCACTACCAATGCGCACTGGCCAATCAACCCCTCCATCAGCGAACTGGCAGAGACTTCTTCGTTAACATTACATACCTGTCCGGAACTTTCTTTGTGGAATCCACATTTGCGTTGGATGACCTGGGAAACACAGGTCGGTGCGTCTCGACAAGAGCCGGTGGGCAAGGCCTTCACGGAGCAGCAGATAGACAGAGGGCTGTAAATGATCATGACTGATTTTCATGCGACTGATTTTCGCGCGACTGATTTTCGCGCGACTGATTGTCGCGCTTCCAAGCAGGAGGAGTGAGCTGACGCTCGTGTCTCGGTGTGCAGGGATGTTCGGGGCAGAGTAAAAGTGCCCGTCCTGGGAGCGGTCACGCAGTTCCACGCGTGGTGGCACATCCTGACGGGACTGGGGTCGTACCTGCACATTCTGTTCAGGTATGAGCAAGCGTGCACACACAAACACATACACAAACACACACACGAACACACACACGAACATACACACAAACACACACGCGAACATACACACACGCGCACACACACAGACACACACGCGCACACACACAGACACACACGCACACACAAATATCCCCCGTATAGCGTGAACAGACTGTAGGGGCAAGTGCTGTTAGTGAGCGCCTATGAAGGCTGACACTGTGGCACACGAGGGGGTGTGTGGCCAGCACCACGCCCGACCGCCTTTGTCTCCCTAGTGGCGATGTTTACACACAGCACCAGGTACCTATGCACAGACAACAAATTGTCCTATGAGCCTGCACGTATACTATGAAGAGCCAATTACCAAAAATGTTGCCTATTATATATAAAAAAACGAATTCGACTGTTTTAGGGCCAGGGTGTTATTGACGAATGCGTGGAGTTGTTTGTTATTTGTGCATCACTGCCAATGAGACAGGGTTACCAATTAATTCGTTTCATGATGACGATCAGCGCAGTAACCCACGATTGTTTGCACGCAGCCTCCACACCAGGGCCGTTCACTTGAAGTGCAAGCCTCGGCTCAGGGTAAGACTTCCGTGGCATCAGCCACAACTTTACCTCTCAGTGTAAAAACGATGTCGTTACCGTGTTCTCTGAAATATAAGACGCTGCGGAAAGTAAAACCACGTCCCAAAACTTTGGTTGTATTTAGAGAAGAGGGTGAAAAAGTGCGCTTGAGAACTGTGAGAATACGGCACTGCCCCAGAAAGCCACCTTCTCCCAGATGATGATTATGAATGGCCGTGCTTTGAAATGGAAGATAAGATATTGAATAAGATATTGAATAAGATATTGAATGGCTGGCGGTGCCCTGTGTGCAATGGGGAGAGTGGTCATCTCTTGCTCTGGACAATCGCCGTCTTCCAGGTGGTGATAATGAACGAGATAAAGACCACATCTTCCGTAAGGTCGATGGTGTTCTTCGGATTACAAGACGCACCGCCATCCCCTGACCTTTGCTTTAAAATGCAGGAGGGCTTTGCAACAAAGCGAGTCTTACAATGCGGAGAGAAAACGGTAACGAGAATAATCGAGTGAACACCTACAGACGCGCGAGCGATATTTAATTCGAGACCATTTCTATGTTTAGTTCCTTGCTGGAGTGTGGCCGGTGATGGAGATCGAGGCGCCAAAGCATCTCTGAACTTCAAGGAGAGCCGGCGATGGGGCGTGGGTACTTTGTTGGTGTATTTTATTTTAAATTCTTGCGCGTTGTTTTGCGTGCGTGCGTTCGGAGCGCGTTATACACACACAGCGTGATCGTGCGTCATTAAAACGGCCACTCGTCATCGGTGTGCGTCCGATCACGGAGCCTACACAAAAAGCAATAAACGGGGAATCGTGGCGGAGGACAGAAAAAAAACAACCCAACGCAACCCTTCGTGGGGTGGCACAGAACCCACCACCCCCCCCGGCCCCCGCAGGGCCATTTCGCTTCCAGACCCGAAGTCGGCACCCGGATGAAGGGCGCAGCGGCGACCTTCAGGAGGGGTGCCGGGCGCCGGCCGGCGGCGAGCACGTGGACATGAAGGAAGCGAGCCGTCTCCAAACAATACACGCTTTGCTCTATATTCGCTTCTTTGTACAATCGTGTTTTGTTTTACACCGCTCATGTTGTGGTCACTTAAAACGAGCGGAGAAGGCACAAATTGCGAACGCGTTTGTCACTGCCGTACGGGCTGTGTATTTTTTGTAAACGTGAAACCGAACAAAGCCAAGCTGTGGTGGTAACAAGTGCTTGTGGCAAGCACGTGCTGTAAGAGGGTTCAACTGTGAAGATGGCACAACCAGCAATGACGGCGGTAATACTGAGCCGAGGCTGTAGTTTGTGAAGACACTATGAATTTGCACTATTAGTCCACATTCATGTCCGAAAAAAATGACGCGTAAACGATTCACGATCAATGCTTCGATTTAAATGTTTATTTTTCCATCTCATTTGCACCGCGTCACCTGTACCGTCTCATATTTGCATGTGTTCTGTACTGTCTTTTTCGTCTTGTTCATTCAGACCGGTAGCCGATTTCAGTCCATTCAGAGATACACCCCATTGGGCAGCAAAGGTGGCACAGTGGTAACCCTCGTGCCTTGCGGCAACAAGGCCCTGGGTTCGATGCTCGACTCGGGCGCCCTTCTGTGCAGAGTTTGTAAGTTCTCCGCCTCTCTCTGCATTGGTTTCCTCCGGGTTGTCCGCAACTTCCGTTTATCAGTGTTGGCCAAACATCCCCAGTGAGTCTTTGGACTCAAGTGTGGACCTCCTGGCTAAAGTGGTAGTAATTAATAAAACAATTAAAAGGAAACACGTATTTTTTTTGCAAATGAAAATAGGTCCAATTCAGAATCTTTAATTATCCTGGAGGAATCCGATGAGCTAGGAAGCTCTTTTTCACATATGTCCAATTCTTACACCTGTGAAAAAGAGCTTCCTAGCTCATCGGATGTTCAATTCTTACACGTGTGAATCGATGGATGGACTGTGAATAGTGCTGTGGCTCACAGCGGTTTGCACACTGCACAATGAACCCGGCGACCTGAGTTCAAGTCCCAGCCACTACCAACATCAGTGGCAAGTGGCATCCGAACCGGACCTGCATCCCCACCGGACCTGCATCCCCCACCTGCACAGACCAGTGTGGTGAAGTATGGTCAAACAACCGCCGTGACGGACAAGGCGTGGGGAAGCCTTCATCTAGCAATGTATTGGCAGAGGGCTGTGAATTATGATTTACTTATCATTCTGTCACCAACGTTTCAACTTTATATTGATGCGAAATACACACATCGTGACATGCCTATGACATGCTCTCCGTCCAAGGAAGCTAAAGCGGAGGATTTGAGAGCTTCGAACGGTGGGTAGAATAGCGCGGCTGGCTACGTACAGTGCGCGAAAGAAGTCCTAACGTACGTACACGCGTAGAATTTCGCTTGAATTGTGGAGCAAACGTGACCCCGTGACTTCCCGACACCAAACCACGCGCATCACGGCCCACACACAGCCCAGTAACGCCGCCACGGTGTCGATAAGAGACAATTTGCCAATTTGCACCACGCAACGACCGGGTGAGACAGTCACGCGGCAAATGGAGAGCAAATCGCTTCTCAACCCGCGGCCGCCGTTCGTCCGGTGGTGGGGCACGTGTGGTGACTCCACGACACAATGTACACACGCCGTACACAACGTTCATGTGCGTACGCAGCGGCGCCCCACATTAACTGTCGCACACACACACACACCTGTAGGTCAGTGTGATACACCAGTATAATATGAATGCACACTGTGCATGGAGGTATTATTCACTGCTAAGCTTTATAGACTCCGTCGGGGGTGATGGTTGATTAATCCCCCCTCTCCACCCACGAGATCCTGAAAATTGGTATTCCATTGACGTTCGCCAGAGAAAAATGTGGATTTTTTTTAAATATATGAATGTAGGGCCCTGTTGAACAATCTTGACATTTCAGCACTTCACCCCCCCCCCCCCACCTTGGGAATATTCTCCATCCGGCTCGGGTTAGACTGGAGCTTGAACCGCACGGTTGACAATCGGAGGAGGTGCATACTCGGTAATGTAAGAAATGAAGCGTTCGCCAAAACAAACTAAAACCTCGAGCAATCGTCAACAGCTCCAACAACGGAAGCGGCAACTTAACGAAGCGCAAGCCGAGACGCCGACGGGCATCTGGGGGGGACGGAGCCCCCGAATCTCGATGCGCCGTGGCGTCTCTCCATCGCCACGGCGGACACGGGGAAGTTCCAGAGGCATGAGACTCGTCAGATACGGTCTCCACACTGCCACGCGCGGGCGTGTATTAGGAACCTAGCTCGCACGACTGTTAAATTAACAGGTCCCTGCAGGGTGGGCTGGTAGGAACATTGGAATTTTGCGCAATTTTATTTTTACACCCCAACAGCACGAGATTTCACTTCGTTAAAGTATTGAAAGGGGACGGACACATTAATCTATTGCAGGCTGGTACACTCAGTTTACAACTTCGTTCCTACCAGTATAATTCCACACCTTTAAGGAGAGCCCCATATATAAAGGGGAGCTAAAGTGAATATTGCAGTTCTCTGTATATGTAAACAGCACAGCACATTCTAATGGCATGGAGAGCGTACAGGAAGAATTGTTGCGCATACAAATCAAAGCGCTCCATTGTCAGTCATGGCAGAGTTCATTCCAGCTTGGTGACCCGAAGCCATTTATAGAAGTTCCACATTCCTATTATGGGGACCAGTCTATGCACAGGATAACTACTGTTGACTCTCCTGCATCCCTTGATGCAGCCTCATGAGGTAGTGCTCATTTTATCAACCCCCGGAGGGATGATGGTAGTGATGGTGTTGATTTGTCCGGTCATGTGCACACATCAATCATCGAACAGATATTGCCATTTGCGACAGACTGATGAGCATTCTAGTGATGTTCTACAAGGCCTAGAAATCTGACATTTGGCACAAATATAGTCCAAGTCTATGCTTAGATCCAGGGAAATCCAAAAAAGCTAACTTTTTGCACCCAAAAACTACAGCCCAGAATACGATTTTTTTCAGGGTCAGCCTAAATTTCTACATCGCTTTAAAGTCTAAATATGTTCCCCGTCATCGGTGAACAAAGTAGTCACCCCGAGGAGTGCGAAGACAAAGCTGACCGAAAGCAGGCATAGCTCACTACCAGTTAATAGTAAACAGTACGTAACGTGTGTGCATCAACTTGATAATACTCCACTGACGTACTTGCGGTTTGTGTAAATGTGGATGCATAAACGGTTACACGCTGAGAGTACAATATACGTAACTCTATATATGCAAATATATACTGCAGAGTGTATGCTCTAATCATGATCATGCTTTCATCCGTGTCTTAAGGATTTAGAGGTTTTTGCAAAAAACCTTAGCAACAAAGTGCCATTAAAACAACTTGTGTGCTTGCAAGGCCCTCGCGTGTCTGCCTCCGGTTTGATTCGAGAGTTACCTTGCACCACTGCACTGACAAACACCCACGAAGCAAGAGCGCCGAACAATGTGCATTCAATTAGCGAGGTCCTTTATTCGGACAACAGTCCAAACGTTTCGAGGGGAGACCAGAATAATCGCGATTACAGTAAAGCCTCGTTATTGCGGTATTTTATCATTCGGAAATCGGGTGATAATTCCGGAAGGCCGCGCGTTCGGTATATGCACGGCGCATTAGTAATTCGCCGCGAGCCGAATTGCCGTACCTAATGGTCCAATTTCGGCACAGCGACGTGCAGCGACGCCGCACGTCGCGACCAAAACGACGGTTCTGCACCGACGCGCGTGGCGAGCGTCGGTGCAGAACCGTCGCTTTGGACTTCACCTTGTTTGTGTGCGCCCTGTGTAAGCCGCACCCTCGCTGAAACGTCGTCTACACCTTCGTCAGGAAGTCATAGAAGGGTGTGTGTCAATGCGTACGGTGTGTGAAGAGTTTGGAAAATAAATTTGTAACAAAAAAATGTATTGGGGCAGGAGACACTGGGGAGTACCACTGTACATAATTCGGAATATTTGACAATTCGGCAAGGCAAGAGCCCCATGTGTGTCGATTCCACAAGGGTTTACTGGATTGTTGGGCGAGTTTGTAAAACTATTTTTTTGTTGGCGATTTAACTAAAAAAAAACGGTTGTGGCCGAGTTCTCAAAAGGTGGGTTTGGGGTATGAGACCGACACACAATGACCTTCCCCGCACACACACAAAGACGATTGGGAAACATAAGAACAAGATAACTCCACCAATTTCATTAGCTTTACTTGGTGAAATTTTGATAAAGCACACAGCAAGTTGATGAGTGTATTGTACAAAGTGCTTTATAAATTAAACAAAATGATGACAATTACAAACTCGTCAACCCTTTATCAGTGCTTACCTTGTTACATACCAATTCAGACCTTATTGGTCAACCAACGTTCATCCTACAAAGTCCCATCACAAGCAAGAGACAAAAACAAAGACCAAAAAAAGCAGTTTTTTTGCCTGTATTGAAAACGGCTGTCAGCCATATTGACCTGAAAACTCAATTTGCCTGTACAAGAATACAGGCAAACCGTATGGGTTGACAGGTATGGACATCGGCAGGCAGACATATGTACGCACGCGTGGACAAATCACAAATCGGACGATGGTTTTTAGCGGCTGATGGTAAAATTCTTCCAATGCCTCAATGAAATACGCAGCATATTTCTACCATTGCGATTAAGAAGAATGCACACACGCCGGACTTATATATTAATGAGGATTTGAAAGTAAGAGGTCTTTGCAACGGCATGGAGAATACTTGTCTTGGCGAGGCTTCACTGTTCGAATAAAACATTCAGTGCAGTCTTTTTTTGTAACAAGAAAACCCATCACAAAACGGGACAAACACGATGCACACGACGACAAACGGCAACGTGTGAACCGACCGTGAATAAAGCACATGTAATGGGACCTCAAAAATACTTAGCGGAAGCTGTATTTATCATTAAGCACGATTTAAAATCGGACGTCTTGTAGCGATTAAATATGTCTTCTTTATCTCTTAATTTCTATGTTACATCCGGCTGAAATCTGTACCAAATATCACGAAAAGAAAGCATTCGTACAATGAAAGTTACATATTCAACAAAGGTGCCAATTTACCAACGTACAATATATCTTTGCGCAGAAACACCAAGGCTTAAAAAAACACAAAGCGATCTTCATAATTAATTCAAGCAGCGAGCCTAATCGTCACCAGTGGCATCTCTCGCCTCCAGTTTCACGCAAAAAAACCTTTGCCTGTGGTTTTGCATTCTCTTGTTGGTGAGCAAAAGTGGATTTAATGTATAATATCTGGAATGCGATGCCAGTGGCCTGAATAGAACTTTTGCCATTGGATGGCAACACAAACTCCTTCAGCTTCTGGACTAAACCCGGCTGGTTTTTTAAACAAAAAGCCCAGAAAAATCGCCTAACATGGGATACTGTCTTCGCATTCAAGTTATTACAAACAGAGCCACCTGAAATTCGTGATCAAAATGGGGGAAAAGGCGAGGCAGAGATTATTAGCTTCGTCAAACTGAAGCCATGGTTCACCACGGTTATTACTGATAATTCCTGTAAATTTTTGTAACAAATTTTTGTCGGACACAGCACTAGAAAATGGCTTGGTTAAAACACGCACGCGCACACACACACACACAGATGCGTGCGTCAAAAAAAACACACGAGCGCACGCAAGCGCTCACACAGCCACTTACACTCGCGCAGCGGTGTGAACGCCACACTCTCAGAAGATCTGTTGTTCGAACATGATTTTCTCAAATCCCAAGGGCGGAGAGTGATAGAAGTCACTGAACTGGCAGTCGAGGATCGCGCTGTCGTCCACTGTGAATCGGAGCGCACGACACACGAGGGCAAGGGTGACGGTCCACCTTCATTGCACACTTTTTTGTATTTTTCGCCACAAGTTATGCCGATGGTGCTGCCGGCGACGCGTTCCCGAGACGAAGCATCCCACACCTGGGTTCTCGCGCAGAGCGGCGCGAACACACCCCCGTTGTGTTCGAACAAAAAAACACCCAAAAAAAGGGACATCACAGAGTTGCCTCTGAGATCCCCCTTCAAGTGACCTCTGGCACACACACAGACTCTACCGGGGAGCACTTTCCCACCCACTTTTCCATAACAGCTAAACACAGTTTTTTTTGTTTATTTTCCAAGCTAGACTTTAGCCAAATTAAGTGTAGAAATAAATTGATGGCGACGGTGTTTTTGTGAGCAGTCACTGGTAACCGTACTGTGAACATCAACTCAATAAACTTGAGAACCCGGTTTAATCACAGGCAGCAACCTAGAATCAAACAAGACATTCTCATTTGTAATAATTAAAACGTATAACGTACACGGTATTCGCTCGCTCTCGTAGAGAGAGATTGACTCAAGAGGCGCGAAGAACCGCAAAGCAGGAAGGACGTCACGGGGTGAGCAAGCGCCAGCAATTGCCCAAGCTTTGCGGTCCTATATTCTTGGTTCTTTCGGTAAAGTCACGTAGATCGAAAAAATAGAATAACATTTTTTTATTAAAAATAAAAGCAACATTAATTTTTTTTTTCTATCTACGTGACTTTACCGAAAGAACCAAGAATATGAATTCCTGCAGTAACGAAAGTTTTAAGTCAAAATTTATTTGCGGTCCTCTATAATAAGGTTGTTATCGGCCAATTAATGAGCGTTTTTATTTAACGCAGGGGGAAAGCCGAGCACCTGAAGAAAGCCGAAGAATTCGTGGGGGCAAACACCATCTCATCCACACAGACGAAATCGGCAGAGTTCACATTTGTGCTGTGCTGCCTTCTCCTGGCGAGCCCAGGGTATGACGCAACACGTGCCGGATTACAGGCGACACGGATTACAGGCGACGCGCCGCCACCACCGCCGCCTGTAATCCAGCTCAACGCTGACCTCCGATCCACACGGCCACCTCAAAGGGCGATGTTCTTACGTTATCAGGCCCCTCGACAATGCCTAGGTTTTACCACTCGCAATCTTTATGAGCACAAGTGTGAGAGTCAAGGTCATGGATCGAGTTAGCATGAGGCTCAATACAGTACACAAAATTCGTGATCTGATCCCATCCGTGAAGGATGTCATTCCTGACTTACAGTACCCCGGGGTTTACGAATTGAGTTGTACCTGCGGTGATTGCTATATCGGGGAGACAAAGCGACATGTCTCTGACCGAATTCGCGAGCACAAATCAGATTTGAAACACGGCAAAACGAATTCTTCTGCCGTAGCTGATCATTGTTACAACGCTGTGGGTGATCACGATATAATTTTCTCCGATACCAAGGTTCTTTGCAAACCCACGGGTTTTTATCAGAGATTTGTTCACGAGGCAATTCAGATCTACAAGCACAGACACAATTTCTAACCGAGAAGATGGTTTCAAATTAAGCAACCATTGGAAAGATGTTCTAAATCGAACCAAACATTAAACTAAATTTCAATGGTACAGTATATTTTTCAAGTAGTGGTACCCCAAACTTTCGCAGCTCTTAAATTCCCCTTTCACACCATCAATAAGTAAACTCCCCCACCCCCCCCCCGCGCCAACCGGCATGTGCACCCGTACACCACTTCTATGCCAAGTCGGCCAATCAAATGCTAATTTTTATGCTAATTCCTTTGTCAAGGCACCTTGTTTCCCCGCACACAGCTTAAAGGTCGCGGTCTGAGCGTGGCTGTGTTTCACTCCAGCACTGTCCTCGAGACACCCTGATCCCTTCACCTGATGAAGGCCACTTGTGTTCTGGCCGAAACGTCGTGATTTTTGTTGTTTTATTTTTTACCTACGTGACTTTACCGAATAGAACCAAAGAGTATGGATCCTTGCAGTCACGAAAGCTTTAAATCTAGAATTTAATATTACTGTTAACGTTAGCAAGTGTTAGCATTGGGACAAGCTTAGGTTCTGATGCAAGCACTGCGCTTAAGATTAGTGTTAACGTTAACATTAATGCTAATGTTGAGTCGAGGATTTGGTCAGTATTGAGCAATGGAATGATACAGATGAAAAGTTACAGGTTGGGTGAACAGTGACAGTTAGAATGAAGGCTCCTGTTAAGGAGTTGCATTGGGACATTGCTTACTGTTACCAAAGGGAAAAAAATATTGGCTACGTATGGTGCGAAAGAAGTCCAACATACATGCATGCATGGAGGGTGGGGGGGGTTGGTTTTAGTGAGCGACAGCTCAGAGGCACACTTTGATGTGGGATCAGGGCTGGGGTCCACGTACCGTAGACGACGGGATACACAGTCCCACGGATGCCAGAGGCGCTGCAGTGCGTGTTCTTGCCGTTGACATAGACGCTCATCTCCACGTGATCGTACGTGATGCCCTGCACAACGCACACGCATGAACATCAACAGGTTGCGAGAACCTGCCACTGTTCATGCCCACGGGCGTGCAATGTGCACGCTTGCAACTGTGAGCGAGTAGTGTGCATGCCGGCGTGCATTCGCCTACGTAATTAACCATTTCCCATTTTTATGGTTCCGTTACAATGACGTACACGTCTACGTGCGAATAATTTTTGTTCTCCAACACACAACCGGTTAGTGCTGTACTAATAACGAATTGGCATGTTCTGTTTACGTGACAAACCTAATTGGCTGTGTCGGGTGGTGGCGGGTCTAATGACCCATTTATAGTTATGCGATCTAACCTAAAATACCTGTATTATGTATAAAATAACTTTATCGGTACTGTGGCTCCCACAACGCCATGCGGGAGTGCATGGCACAGTTTGGCACCAGGTATCAGAGTGCGGTCATGTCGCTACAGTTCTCTGCGCTGAGTACAACACCTTTAAAAAGAACAACGCTACGCTTTTCTAAATAAAATTAACCCCAACCGCTTTCACGTTCCGAGATTCACCGGTGAACGACACCCACCCTGCAACTTGCAGACGTCTCGGAATAGGAAAGGGTTAATTGTGAGTGTGCAGTTGTATATGTGCGAGTGTTTGAGAGCGATTGGTGTGCGCGAGTCCGTGCATGAGCATGCGATTGTGACCACGGGTTCAGCTTACGCGTGGCATGTGATCATGTGCGAGCTATGCATATGTGTGCGCGCTATTGTAAGCGTGCGGTGTGAAAGTACGTATATGATTGAGCGAGTAGAGTATTCATGTGTGGGACTGTGAGCGAGCATTGTGCACGTGTGTGATCGTGACTTGTGTGCATTTGTGTGATGGTGTACGTATGTTGAACTTCTTTCGCACCGTATGTAGCAAACCATGCTAATCGGAGGGGCATGTTACCACTAGCAAACTGTGGTTGCGCGTGTGTGCGTACGCGCACGCACACGGGTGCGCGAGCTCACAATAACGTCGCCCTCCTGCGGCAGGCTGTTGGCGGGCAGGCGGTTGCACTCCTCGCTGCGGTGGCTCAGCGTGCCGTCGTGCCTCAGCACCAGGCTCTCCGTGTCACCGCCCAATGGCACGCGGCTCAAGTCCACCTTGCGCGTGGCCACGCCAACGCCCCACACGCCTTCCTCGGCGGGAAGCCGGGGGTTGGGGGGGAGGGGCATGGGAGACAATTACCAACCGCGATGAAGGGTCCCAGCTCCTGAGCACCCTGGAACGTGGATAGCGCCATTTTTGTGAATCCACTGCTGGATGAGTCGTCGTCCCCGTCCCCTCCAAGCCATGCACGTTGTGTAGCCGATATGACTAAACGTTACCACGCTGCTCCGTGTGTGTTTAGCAATGGGTCTCGCTGCAATACCCACCACGTAGCCCCGCAGCAGCCTATAACAAGGTGCTCTGCGTGGTGATCACATCGTCTAAGCCACTGTCCAGGCTCAACCCTGCATAGCTTCTGATATCTGACGAGGTCGGGTGCAGTATGATGGATTTGGTCGTGTGTTTGTTTGTAAAAACTTGTTTTGTCAGTGCTTGCGTGGAAAATCAGCCAAGGTGGACAAAGAATGATGTCCGCTACCATGTAAGTTAGGATATATTATCTAAGTGTGTGCCTTTGGTTGGAGATAAAATCATATTGCATACAAATTATGAAAATACCATTTACCACGACTAACAAAATTGTGAGTTTAAATTTAAACAATGTCCATCAACAGGTGATAGTGGTGTCTTTCGTGCAAGCATCCTCAGCTCTAGAGCTGAAGTAGCTCATCTGACAAGACTCAATTATTTAATAGCTGCTGCTAAGGTGGAACTTCTAAAGTAGCACAGCAGACACCAAGCAGTTGTGGTCAGAATCATGCATGCTGAGGCAAATGTCTCCTGAGTGCTGATGTTTAGCACACAACTATAACAGGTACTGAATAGGCTGATACAACGGAGGAAAGGTCAAGACCAGGTTCAGCCTCCATTTGTCGGTCATGTGTAGCATGATCCTTATAAAAGAACTGGTCACCTGGATAACAGCCCAGAGTGCATTAATCTTTCCACCACTTCTCCGGAAATAGACAGTGTATGTAAAATGCACGTGCATGCATGCCTGGCTTTCATACCTCTCAACCCCTTATCAGTGCCCTACCTTATTACAGACCAATTCAGACCTTATTGGTCACCCCGTGCCATTATAAATCTCAACGTTCATCCTACAAAGTCCCACCACAAGAAAGTAACACAAAAAAAGACGAAAAAAAGTGTTTTGCCTGTATTGAAACGGCTGTACGCTGTATGGACCTGATAACTGAATTTCCCTATACAGGAATACGAGTAAACCCGTATGGGTTGACAGGTGTGGGCTTTGCGTACACGAACAGCCATGCAAATGAATGTGCTGAGCAGCACCCACCTGTGGACTGCACCTTGAACTCAAAGTAGCTTTTGTTCTGGTGCAGGGGAGCGTTGGCGAGGCATGCTCCGGTTCCGCAAATCCTGCGGCCACTCTTCACCACCACCACGTCACAGCCTATTGGCAAGATGGGAGGCCAGGAATTAGTGGCCTGCTCTCGTGGTCGGGCGTGGTTACTGGACTGTGATTTGAGAAACTCCCCGATCCACGAGGTTCACGAACGAACCTTTATCCACTCATATGTGTACTGTCTCCAGGCACTTCCAAGTATCATCCACAGCGCTGTCCTTCAGACAGTCTCGTCCCTTCACCTGATAAAGGCCGCTTGTGTTGTGGCCGAAACGTCGTGAGCATTTTATTGTGTTATTTTATTTTATCAATTTATTATTTTATTCTCATTCTAAGTGACTTTACCGAAAGAACCAAAGAAGATATCACCCACATGCTCGTGAAAAACACAACTCGTCAAATATCCATCCTTAAAAAAAATCAGACTCAGGGTGGCTTTGCCAAGATGAATGCCGTCAATATTACTTCATTACCATAAACAGGGGTTTTCTCCAGGAAATTCTAGTTTCTGTCGATAATGGTCGAGGTACTTGGTCTAACACTCCAATGCAGGACCCTGAAGTACACGAATATTCGTCCTCGATGAGGCTTTGCTGAGTAAATTGTGTAATATTGTTCATAATAAAGTATGATTCCTTTAAATATTCACTGTACTTGTAATTAGTTTGATACCCAAATATAACTGGTCCAGCAAAATCAGCAAGACCCTGCTGACAAATGTGTGATTCAAGGAGGCATTCAAGGGGTAAACATTCAAACCTATTACATGAATTACATTAATACTGTAATAATATAATCTCAACCTGTAAGGCACCTCCACACACGATTTGCTCACTCTCGCAGAGGCCGACTTAGAGGCATCAGGAACCAGACAAGCGGGAAGGCAGCCACGCGCTGAGCCCACGCCAACGAATGCCCAAGCCAACGAATGCCCAAGCTCTGCGTTCCCCTGTGCATTACGATCTTATCGGCCAATTAACGAACCTTCACATGTGGGAGGAAACCGGAGCGTGCACCCGGAGAAAATTCACGCGTGCGAGGGGTTAACACTCGATCCCATCATACGGGTGGGAAACACTGTGGATGAAGTTAACTCCCTTCCCCCGACGCCCGAGGGAAGGGAGTTTCTCACCATTTGGTGCGATCCACTGACCCTCGCTGCCTCCACAGCGGCTTACAGGCGTGGACAACCACCGCCTGCCGGCTTAATGGGTGCACTAACACAGCACACCCTGTACACTAAGCAATGACTCACCATGCTGTCAATGCGCGACTCCTAACGTCAAAAGGGGCCGTTTACTATGAACACCGAGCCCGTGGGGTGTGGAGATGGAGTGATGAAATCAGTTCGTGTGCTGGTGCCGACAGATTGTTGCATGGCGAGCCCCTGAGAGGTGGCTACGGCTTTGGGGAAGCCTTCACCCAGCAGTGCCGAGATCGCGGCTGCTGCTGAGGATGATGATGATGATGCACATATACATGCACAGTATACACATCCACAAAAGGTACAATAGTCTTTACAAACTACAAAGTACAGCACGCAATGATACACATTCTATATATGTGCAGTGCCTGGGGAAAAGTAGCATTCCTTAGATATTATAAGTCATGAGCAACAGCTGATGATGCCTCGCCCACGTGATTAATTTAAATGCCTAAGCTGCATACGCCGCAAAAGAAGTACAACGTACATACATACAAACACGCAAGATTGTCATTAACAATAGCAACGTTCACATTACTAACAATCAATTCACGACAGTAATGTAGACGTTAAAGTGTCAACGCGTCTGTACGATGTTTTTTGTGTCCACTCGAGGTATGTTTGACCACTTGTAGTGGGGCTTGGGTTTTCGGGGCCCCGCGACATCAGCCCAACTACCGCGCAGACAGCTATGCAAAGACGGCCTTGGCCACTGCAACAGGAACCCACTTGCTGTACTACCCCGGCAACATCGCGTAGAGACCAAGGCCGGTTCAAATGTCTCGCAAACCTCGTTGTTACATGGATCCATCAACCACCCGTCCACTTTGCTATTATTTTAATATGCGTTCGCCGTAACACACAAACACTCCCATCCTCTCCCAGGAAAACATTTGCTTATAGCATTCAACCTGCGTTCGATCAACTTCCACACGCTGTTATTTGTTTTTCCAGGAAAGGTGGGGAGGATGGGGTTAGCAGCAAACGCGCCTCTGCCGGATGATGCGCTCTTTACGCGGCAGAGGCTTCAGGAAAACGTAGGGGGTGCGTGATGAAGTTCGGGCCTAGTCGGGGATCCCGACCCAGGAGGTGTTTTTGAGGTAACCGCGCTCGCTCACCCATGTTCTGCGTGTCGAGCTGCACCACAGGCATCTCCTTGAGGGGAATGTGAGCCGAGCCATCGCTCATGAAGCAGGAAAAACACCATCGCAATGCCGCCATCATTTCATCGCTCTGTGTCCTGCGACCCCCCCCCCCCCAACACAAATTTGACGTCACTTCAATTCGCCCACGGTCACGTGGTTATTTTTTTAGTACCGCGTCCTGATGAAGGGGGGGATACTCGGTGGATCAAACCAATGAGTTAAATACAGGAGGGGGGTTTTGGAGTTGATAGTTCGTATTTAACATTTAATGCGATGCTGTCAGAGCTGGTGGGGGCGGGGTAACAAGGACGCAGCTGATGATGACCGTTTGAGTTATGGTCGAAACGTCGTGAGAATTTTTTATTGTTTTATATATATTTTGTTATTTTGTTGTTTCTCTTCAACGTGACTTTACCGAAAAAACTAAGAATATGAATTACTGCAGTCACGAAAGCTTTAAATCAAAATTTAAGGACGCAGCTGTTAACGTGGCTCCATCCCAATGACTGGCGAACACAAACCGACGCATTGTGAATTGTTAACTAGCCACCATGTGTCTGCAGGCTATCCCCCCCCCCCCCCCCCCCCAAGGACGTTGCCACCTCTCGCGGTCATGCCATGTCATCTGCAGCCATGAGCTATCCGCTGCTGGATGAAATGCCTCCCAAATGCGATCGCGCACGTTTCTGCGTAATTAACAATCGAGCGCCTGCGCGCGAGCTGTTGTCGCTCCAATAACAGTGGACCGAGGGTCTCGGCAGCACGTTCTCTTATTTGACCGCCGCTCCCATCGTTCGTCGACAACATTGCATTTTTATATTCACGTATATTAATTAGATCTTGCTTTTACAAACAGTTGTCGGGGCAGTGCTTAAGACGAGGATATTGGTGTTGCGATGGTTGGAGATATGGTAAAAAAAGAAATGCTTCAATACAATTTCAAAACAATTGGTGCCACGGTGGCGAGACGTTAAATACCTCGCCTGGTTCAGGTATTACACGCCACCGACGTTGGGAAAATGAGTTCATAATGTACTGCTCCACTCGGTGTTTTGACAACTCGCCACCCTAATTGCCGCGTTACGCATATCGCACACAAGCAAAGCCATCACAAGCTGCACTCTCTATAAACGGGACTTTATTAAATGCTGTTGCGTGCGCGTGTACTGGAGTGTGCTACAGCACAGATCGGGGTATTTACAACTGATTTTCCACGCAAGGAACACATACTAACACATTCCAAAGTGTTACAAAAATCATTTTAAAACTTTTATCTTAAATTCCCATGTTAAACATCTTTTTTTTGTCATTTTTGTTTTATGCCACATTAGATATACGTTTACGACGTACAGGGTACATAAAAAGATTTATAATCGATATAGCATCAGACAATAGTTTTATGCGCAAAGCTTCATCGGTTTTTGCGTTGCCCAAGAAGCCAGGTGGATCCATCCATTCCAGGATTCCTGTGTAGCTTGAGTGGAGCGGTCAGTCTTATTACAAATGTCTTACATTATTATGCCTCAAGATAAGAAATGAGAAAAGATGCACAGTGTTTGGCAAGCTACTCTAACACACCTCTCCCAACTTGCAATAAAAATAATGAAACAAAATAAAAAATATAAGCAATGACGAAAGAAAAAAGATCCATTTTCTAAACACACGTGCTGGCTATATAATGCATCCTTAAGACTATGATACACCTGAGGATCTTTTATCTGGATAAAGTACTGTGTTACACGGAACTAATAAAAAAATAAAATAACAGGTTAAAAAGGCAAGAGAGGCAATAAACCTCTCCATAGCACAACTCTTCTTAATCTCCTTTTCATGTTTTAAATACTCCCAACTTGCTTGCGTTAACACTTGCAAATTCTCTTCTGCTGAGGGTAGGGTTCAAGACGGCTGGGTGGGTAGGTGCTGGAGAGGGAGGCTGGGAGATTGCTTTGACAGCAAGTACTGCACCACACTCAGAATATGGAGACTCCCAAAACCTGCGCGACAAGACACACAGAAAATAAATTTAGATGTGACGATTAGGTACACAATGCTCACTCCTGCAGGACATCCAACACTGGTGCCCTGAGCATCTAAATATAAAAACACACATGTGCAGCAGTGGTTACACAGAATAAGTGTTTTCATTAGATGCAGTACATCGTGTTCATATCGTGCAGGAGTAGAGTGAAACAGTGCATTCATTAACACTGCATTTTTAACTGGGCATTAGTCACCGAGGCATAACATTTTCTGCTTGTGTAAAGTTTAGCAATCCACCAATATAACTAATTGTCAGAGTCTAAGCAGCTGTGGCTTTGCTTAACGATTCTTTGTCATATGTTCCTTATAATGGCAACAACAACAAAAACGTCCCTGCTTTGGATTTCGATCTCACGAACAACTTCGTAAGGGCACGCTATTGGCCAGTGCAGGGACAAACGAGGTGCCAGCGAAGTGAATTTGCTACGTACGCTGTCATCCTCCATGACGGAGGCGGGGTCAAAGAAGTCGGGTTTCAGCTCGTTCCTCTCCCGCCGGTTCTTGGAGGCCGGCTGCATGCCGCACACAGCGCGTCCGTCAACACTGGCACATGGCAAAACCACTTGCAGCAAAACTCGTCAATACGTACCGAGAGCTACCTCAGTACGAACCGTTGCAACCTATTCTCCACTATGCATGTGAAGCACGCTCTCTCTCTCTGTATAATGTAGGTAAGAATTGAACATTTGATTGTAAGGCAAAGTGGCTCTGACTGGAAGAGGGAGCCACTGTAGATGACAAGAAACCGTAACATACATGCCAATATTTTAAAAATGGGATTTGAATTATATTCCATTGTAGTGCATGTGGAATATTCCACCTCCACATTATATCGGGGATAAACATATGGAGATTTATCCCCGTCACAGGAATATAGAATATCGCTTAGGTACCAGAGATGAGCACCACACAATGGTCTTTGTGTACAGCAAGGAGGCACTATTTGGCAGCGTATAATTTGGCATTTATGATTCGCTAATATCTTTTGGGAAAGAGCACATGTAATATTCTGCAATCATCTCTGAGGTAGCTGTTGTCACTAATAAGGTTGTGCATGGTTTACCAAGTCGATATCCATTGTGTCATCGAAGTAGCCCATGTTCTCGTTGAGGTCTTCAAGTCGGCTCTCTGATGACATCATCACGTCCTCCACGATGGGCTCCTCATCATCCTCCATCAAGTTGGGACCACGTGCACTGTGGGAATTCAGTTAAACCACGTGTTAAATGTTACCCAGAAAGAAAGGGATGGAGAAGCACAGCAGCGGCAACCAAAACGCCATCGTGGGTGCGTGGGTTTGCATTTGCGATGTGCTGTTGCACAAACAAAATTCGGTGGATGCGAAAATCTCTCAAATGTTGGCAGTGTGCTGGGAGCGACGGTGAAGGTACACACACGGGCGGCCGGGCGTTGGGCTTGGCGTAGCTGATGACGGAGCGCTCTCGCCGTTTTCCGTCGTCCACGGTAGCTGGCCGCTGCGGGTCTATCCACGACATCTGCGCGCTGCGCGTGGCATCGTGCAAAGGTAACATTGTGAGTGCGTTGGGTCGGCATTACTGCAGTGATATTAATTATGTTAAAGTAGTCTCAGACAAGAATATTTGCTGCTGAAATGGTATGACGACAGTGACATCACATTCACAGTAGAGTCGCTAACTTAGTTACAATGTGCCATGTTTATATATTTTAGTCCTTGGAGCTGGGTTTGGTATTAAAGAAAAAAACTAAGTTTGGTGGATTTTTGCATGAATTGGTTACTCGGCTGAAATATTAACCGAAATTAAGTGGTTTAGCTACAGGTGGCCGAAACTTATATTGAAACCAAGAATCTCTGCTCTACTTGCTTAGCATCTCTGGTGCAACCATTTAGAACCCCCCAAGAGACATCCAGCCACAATGGCTTACACAGGATGTCAGCTACATCCATGATAAGAAACCTGACCCAGACACACCGAGCCCCCATTTCCTGAGCAGAGAATCTAATTCATGTTGAATCAAGATGTACGACACGGACATCTGACAAAAGAACAGCGTTAGAAGATTAAAACCAAAGTACCAAGAGCTGTTATCCTACAGATACTGTATGGGCTGTGTGTCTTGGGCTGTCAAAAAGTCTTTAAAGAATGTACAAGCGCTTCACCATGGCAACCTTATTGATTTCACTCTGACCATTAATAAAGACAATGCAGTGTTGTCACTTTAATGTTGAGACAGCTCCTGACCGTGATTTAAATGTATTTTTATCTCATGATTGAGGCTTCAAACTTGTACGCAGCAAAGCATAAACCGGATAGAAAAGGAATAACTTTCCTTCTCAATTGTACCTTGAAGGCATTCCCTCAAAAGCCGATTTCAACACCAATATATTATTTATTCTAAATGTAACTTCTTTACATACTGTACTGTTTATATTACTCATGAGCCAAGAATGTATGTGTGTAACGCGTGTGATGTCACTCCACGTCGACCAGCCCCCCTCATTAATAAATCATGAACCGGTGGGGTCCTCCACATGGACCCCCCCCCCTCCTCCCATCATTAATAATCATGTACGGGTGACGTCATTCCGCATGGAGCACCCCCCACATTAATGATCACGAGTGAGTGACGTCACTCCTCATGGATCACCCCCCACCCCCCTCATTAATAATCATGAGTGAATGACGTCACTCCTCATGGATCACCCCCCTCATTAATAATCATGTGCAGGGGACGGCACTCCACATCGAACAGCCCCCTCATTAATAACTATGACCTAGTGACGTCCTACAAATGGACCCCCCTCATTAATAATCATGAGCAGGTGTCGTCACTCCACATGGGGGTGGGGGCCTCCTCCACCCTCCTCAGTGTCAACTTATAACCCTCACTTCAAAGGCACACCCCTCACGTCACGCGATATCCGTAACGCTATTGAGACATATACGTAAAAAGGACGTCATTATGAATAAGGGATTATAACCTTTAAATTATATAAGTTTGTGTCACCGCGGCCTTACAAATTGCACACAAATGGATGCAATTAATATCACGTCGCGGTCCGCTTTTCGCTTGCAAGTTTCAGATTTACTGCAATACAACCGTCCTTGGACAGGCTATAGGCGAGTATTTTATAATGAGCATAGTTTTGATTTAAAGCTTTCGTGACTGCAGTGATTCATATTCTTGGTTCTTTCGGTAAAGTCACGTAGAAGGGAAACAATAAAATAATAAAAATATTAAACAATAAAATTCTCACGACGATTCGACTGCAACACAAGCAATCATCAGGTGTGAAAACCACAGCAAGAAAATTTGAAAAAAGTGGCGGTTTTTGTTTAACGTTAGCACCACGAAGAGCGATTTGACAGTTTGTTCAGATGGACGAGTCCATCTATGTTCGGAAAAGAGGAGGGGGGAGACGAAAATAATGGATGCGGTCTGAAAGCCACCGTAAGCGTGAACAATCAATTAAGACCCGAAATGGTTTATCAAATCCTTCCAATGATTGCTAAGCCAGAATCCATCTTCTCGGTTGAAATTGTCTCTGTGTTTGTATATGTGGATAGACTCATGAACGAATCTCTCATGGTAGCCAGATGGCTATCCACATATACAAACACAGAGACAATTTCAACCGAGAAGATGGATTCTGGCTTAGCAATCATTGGAAGGATTTGACAAACCATTTCGGGTCTTAATTGATTGTTCACGCTTACGGTGGCTTTCAGACCGCATCCATTATTTTCGTCTCCCCCCTCCTCTTTTCCGAACATAGATGGACTCATATTCTTGGTTCTTTCGGTAAAGTCACGTTGAAGGGAAACAAGAAAATAATAAAATATATATAACAATAAAATTCTCACGACGATTTGTGCTCGCGAATTTCCTTTTCTCAGTAGTTGTATATCAAACTTTAGCTACCTTATAATTGAATCGCCGTTTGTCGCCGCTTTAAAAAAAATGGAGCTGTACACATGCAGCATGTTTCTTCCTCCCCCCGACCCCCCACGCAGCATAACAAAAGGTGGGTTTTACCCACTCTCGTGCAGTGCGAAGTGGCTGTTACCCACAGCAGTCTATCAAAAGGCTGCTTAACCCAGCCCTCCCACCCACCCACGCCCCCTTACCGACTCCTCCCCCCCCCCCCTTAACCTGTATATAATCCCGGTCGTCTCTGAACTGTGCTCTTGGCACAGATATTCTGCGTTGACTATTCCACCTGTAGACGGAAGCTTGTGTTGCCTCCGAAACGTCGTGATTTAATTGTTTTTTTTTATTTTGTTTCATTTTATCTACGTGACTTTACCGAATAAAACCAAAGAGTATGAATCCTTGCAGTCACGAAAGCTTCAAATCTAGAATTATGATTTAACCGAGGATTCCCTCGCAAACAAGCCCACGTTCCATGTTGTCTTAATGGCTTGTTTTCCAATTCCTGGTGAGATGAAAGTTCCCTCGATTACTAAACGAGATGAGGTACTTTTTTTGTTGGCCGGGTTGCATATTCCTTCATGGGCCATGCCAAAGGGGGGGCCAGGCCCCCCCCATGCGCATAGTCCCCACCGATGTCGGAGGTAGCCACGCACTCCCCCCCCCCGCCCCACGTGCTGTTCTAACACAGCCAAGCGTTAGAGAGCACCCCCCGACTCACCCCTGCATGTAGTCCATGTCGGAGCCGTGCTCCGAGCCGTCGTGCTCCTCGGGGTACACGCCAGCGCCGCCCCCCTCCTCCCCGCCCCGCGGCGGGGGCCCCCCCACCTCTCCCCTCAGCGCCGTCGAGGTGATGGTGGGCGGCTGGAAGGTGCCCGGTGTCCGCAGAGTGTCCTCCCGCCCGCCCATCCACGAACCGTCGTTGCTCTCCTCTGTGTGGGTGTGCGCGGCAAAAAAACAGGATAATTCTATGCGAGAATATTAATAACTCAAAATAAGTCGCGGAAAATCGGTACAGCATTAAAAGCGCCACGCGCATATGTCCTGCAGCAGCATGAGATGCATGCTTGGACAAACAACAGACCGTGCATTACTCAATTTCCCCCCCAAAATATTAACAATTTATAGATTAATCATTCCGTAAATGAGAATTTAACATAACGTATATCGAATGCGTTCCCTAAATGTATAACTTACATCATAGCAACATTCTGTGTATTGAGTTAACGTTTAATGAGGGATGACTGTAGGATAAACATCACCCTTCCAACAATGATCAAGTAGGCAAGGTGTTTTCTACCTGTGGCTGTACGACTGCGACTGCAGCCATTGCCTCGAATTATATTTGAAGTTGTACATTCATTGACATGCATATCACACGAATAATTGTACAAACATCACGCACCCCTCAATGCATATGGTTCAGGATAGCAATATCACTCATATCAATATTTCAAAACCACACTGGGGTGCATTTCTGCATCTGAACACGTGCATACACATTTTTATTGCCTTTTCACCGCAAATCCGATCGGCACGGTTGGCTACGGACAGTGCGAAAGGAGTTCAACATACATACAGACTGGTGCATCTGCCAGTCAGTTTATCCACAACAGCCGGGTCTGTCCCGTCACCTTCTGTCAGCAAGCCTTCACCAACATTTTAGGTGGCCCTCAAATTTTCACCGAGAACAAGCACTGTGGTGATGTCACCAACATCCAGCGGTGAATATCGACCGTCGTTATTGCTCTTGCGTGTGTACGTGCGTTCAGCTCTCACCGTCCGTGTGCCGCCGTCTCGCTGGCCCGGCCTTGTCGCGCTTTCCGCGCGCCGACGACGCTTTGCTGCTGGAGCCGCTCACCACGGACATGCGGTCGTCCTCGCCGCCACCCGTGAGCAGAGAGTTGCGGTACGCAATGAGCGGCAGCCACACGTCCTCGCGCCGCTCCACCATCTGCTCCGTCATGAACTTCTCCAGGTACGCGTAGCTGTCGCATGGATGCACAAATGTAATTATTCTCCCTGTATAACCTCGCCAGACTGTCGGGGCAGGTGGCGTTGGTGAATATCTATGAATGTCGGTGTGGCCAGCACTACGCCTGGCTGCCTGTCCCCCCAGTGGTGATGTTTTGTAGGAGCGGTGCGCTACAGACCCATTGTACACATGCACACAAAGACAGATGGCAGCTATTAGCCTGGATTCTATACTTAACCATGAGGCTAAACAATTGTGCAGCCACAAGACACATGGGTTGTTGAATGTTATCTGCAAAGTGGATATTTAGTTATTTCGTCAAATGTGAGGGTCTTCTTGAGTCACTCCTATGTCCCCCCACATGCTAGAATACTTAAGTTCAGAAAATCATAGGCAGAACCTGTCTGCTTAAAAAAATCTGAAAATTATTGAGAATGGCTGTTGATCTTTTATTCGCCAAATATCAGTTTCACATTTATGAGTAATCATTGCCATGTAGCCAAATTGATTGACAAACTGGTAATGTATTGCAGAAGATTAAATCAACCTTACAAAATAATGTGTTTCAGTCAATCATATTGAACTCATCAGTTTATATATCAATTCCTTTATTTACTCAGGAAAACATCAGTGAACCATCAAGGCTCTTTTCAGGAGAGTCCTGCTTTCTTAATTTTTGGCAGACAGGATGGAAACAAAGCAATAACCACTCAAAGTGAGCCATGCACAGAATATGCACAGCAGCCAACGACGGTGGCAGTGGCGATGACGTGGGTGGGTCACTTACAGGGTGCGCTTGTCCTGCCGCAACAGCTTGGACGAGAATTCGCTGAGCACATCGAGGAAGGGGAGGTTGAGCGGCGGGTAGGCTGGTCCGTTGGGGTTTAGGTCCTTGAACGCGTAGTCTATGCCGTCCCTGCAATCAACATGGCAAACCGAGATAGTCGGCAGTGATTCAACAATTCAATACTGCTGGAGACAACTACGATAGCGTGGGAAGATTGGGGAAGAAATCATTTTTAAGAAGGAACACATCCGCCTGGGGAGGTGGGCGACGTGGCTCAGTAAGCAGTTGAGCAAAGCACATTTCTAACAAGTTAACAGTATCGAGTTCAAGTGTAAATTGCCTCATTTGTGTCGATGATAGGATCAGTTGAACCCTAATCGGAATGCTGTGTTCCCATGGTGTGCTGACGGACGGCACATACAATGAATTTGGCATGAGCTTTGCTCCTGGCCCTTCTTTGCGCCGAGATAGATTCAAGCGTCTCGTGAGGCCAGCGTAGCAGTTTGGTCACAGCTCGGCACACCAAATTGTCAGTGAAAACCGCCCATATACCGTGAGGGCTCTCCGCTGGCTCGGCTATGATATCCCAGTGGCTAAGGGGGTAGAAGAAAAGGCTGCACGGGAGATATGTCTCCGTGTATGCGTGCATACTTGTGCAATGCCGCCACAGCCTCGCGCGTCTTCTGCTGATCGAGACCGAAGGTGAGCGAGAAGCGCCGCGCCAGCTCCTTGACACCGTTGAAAGCTGCCGATGACCGGTCCAGGTTGTGGCCCATCTCTTGGAGCAGCTCGTGAAAGAGCTGTTCACAGAGCAGGGCGATGGGTACGGGGTGGCGTAAGAGGGTACAGAGAATCAATGGCCAGCAGGAAGACTTAACATGTTTCTGTAATAGGATTACTGAACCGATGGTTGTGGTTTCATTCAATTGAGCCGTTTATCGCCTTCAGGCTACATCAGATTGCGTTAAGGCGGTAAATGGCACCACTGCGCCTGTCAACTGAGCAGGAGATACACGCATCCTGAAAAAAAAATCTAAAGCTGGATAAGGTAAAACGTATTTATATTCCAATCGATTTTCCTAGCATGAATAGAAGAGTGGGCTAATGGCCCACGACGAATAGGAATTGACTAGGGAGGGAGCACTGTAACGTCAACATGAAATTCTTACCTGTTGTAGGCTGAGGATGAGCGTTTTGGCACACTGGATTTTGTCATTTTGTCTCGTCTTGCTCAGAGTTTCCTTGATGATATCTCCGTAGTCATTGTAATACTGCACACGACGGCATTAACAGAGCACATAAATTGAGTGTCATTTGCAGTATGTAACAGGATGAACATTTTTAACAACTAGAAGAATTGCCAGGTTGTTACGTGGTTACAGCGTTGAAATCACAGTGTGAAGAAGATTACAAGTTCATATCTCGGCCTGGTGTTGACTCGGCGCGCATCATCGTTTCAGTCGAATAAACCAATCTAAAATTGTTGGAAAGTCAACAGTGATCATCCTACGCAGAGACTGGTCCTGCAGTTGGAATGTGGAATAGTACTCCAATGGAGATGTCCACCACCCAATGCTTGCTCGAGTATAGGAAAAAAACTTTTAACTTTTAAATATTCTTCTTCCAATGCCTCTGTATATGAAGGCAAATCGAAATTTCTTGATACGTAACAAAATAACTCTGCAGCTACTAGGCACTACACTCTTGCAGATATCGGAACGAGATGAGAGGCGTGGGACATGCATTCACCTTCATGTAGTGCTTGAAGATGTCCGCGCCTGCAGTCATGTCCACCACGTTGTAGACGATAAGCTTGCAGAAGCCAGCCAGCAGGTTCCTCCGCTTGTGCAGTGCCTCGATTTTGTTTGCCTCATCCTCTTCATCGCCATCTAGGTGGTTTTAAAACACAACCTGCTGTCAACCCACCGGTATCATCATTGGCAACATCATCGCAATGTATGTACGTTGAAGTTCTTTCGCACCGTACGTAGCAAACCGTACTAATCGGAGGTGCGGGGAAGGACAGCAAACTAAACACAAAAAAGTGATGATTGTGCCGAGTGTCTCCCTGTGTTAAGTTTTGGCCGATAAAAACCATCTCCCAACTTTGTACTGAGGCCTTGAGGTACAGGTCGTGTCAAGAAGTATAGCATGTTATCTGATTAATGTTTAAGCTTTATCGTGGCATGTGCACACTTTTTTCTTCTTACAAGACTAAATAGGTTAAATGCTGCTCGAAAACATTGGTCGAGAAGGACCATAGGCTGAAGGATCAGAATGTTATTTTTTTATTAACACTGACAAACAGACCCTTGCCATATTGTAATGTCAAACCAGGAGTCTGCGCTCACAGCGAATGTCACCACAGGTTCTATCAAGAGCCTCGTGTATATAGCAGCAGGCGGTGCATCATAAGGCAAGGAACAGATATGACAGAGCCTGCATACAGCCGTCAGCTCTCGACGCTGCAAGTAGTCAGCGAGTAAGCTGGCACAAACTTATCAAACACGTAAAGGGCTGGGCACATGTCCCACAACGCTGCCGCCAGGGGTAGCCGAATGTTCCTTTCTCCGCTGGCATGTACCCATGCTCTCGTCGTCCTGCTCGATGAAGACGTGGTCCATGACAAAACTGAGCAGCTCGGCCTGCAACGACGCGTCTGGGTTGTAGACGAGTGGCTGCAGTGCCTCCTGCCCGCCGGACACCATCTGATGGCTGAAGATCATCAGCATGTCGCACAGAAGCGTGAATGCCTGCCGTGCAAGAAGTGGGGTGTCGAGGGGAGAACGTGTGGAGGTTGGAAAGCAGGGAAGGAGGGGGCGCAGACAAGGTAACAATCGTTATAACAAACAGAAGAGTACGTGACATTTTACTATTTATGGCCACAATAGCTGACCGTGGTGAAAAAAACACATCAAATTAATGTATGTGCAGGCTGAAACTAAATACAAAATAATTTGCATATGATGATATCAAACGGATGAGGCTGTAATGTAATTGGAACACAATATCTCAAAAGGTTTCTGTGCGATCCCTCTATTTATGTACAGCCGGTATATTTTTCAACAAGCATGCAAAAGTTAGTGTTTAAATTATTCGAAAGAAAAATATACAAAGTGGGTAGCTTGATTGGAACTGATTGTTTGCAATGCAATTCTGTACAATATAATTTGTAAGGTTTTTTTTTTTAATAATCACTTTGGCACATTTATATTTTTTACTTAGATAATACATTAAATTAATGGCTTGTATGGAAAATGCAGGTAAGCCACTTCTCCATAGTTTCTGGTTGATCCCCACGAGCCAACCAACCCTACCTGTTCCTTGACTGCCATGTTGACGCTGGTGAGGTAGTGCTGACAAAGCTGGCAAAAAACCTTCACTTGCTTTTTGAGAGTGACAAACTCATCCTGGAAAACAACACAGAAACGCACTTGTAAATACGGCAAGGCCTTGACACATCCGGGAGGGTTTCTGTTTTTGAAAATGTGTGCGAAAATAAAATTTGCAAATGTAGATACTATGTTTATACGGGAAAAGGGTTCCCATGTAAGACTGATCATATGGGAGAAATGAAAATGTTTCATAACATTACTCCAGTATTTTACACATATATAACATCCATATATTACTCATTGTTTTTTTTCGGTAAAGTCACGTATGTAGAAATACCTCAAAATTATATTAAAACAAATCAATCACGTTTCGACCGCAACACAAGCGATCTTCATCAGGTGTAAAAAACAAATAGCACATAGGGTGACATCAACGCAACACATAGAGAGCGTTAAACTGCACGGAGGTAAATACAACAAGAAGATGAGAGACGAGAATTCAACAAACCTAAGCAAAAATTACGTGATGCAAAACCAGTCGGCCAACGACACGGTTAGACACTTGCCTGGCAGACCACGAATTTCAGAAGAGTGCTAAATTTCGTGTTCATCCTCTGGGTTGAACTCACCGCTTGTGTTGCGGTCGTGATTGATTTGTTTTAATATAATTATGTGGTATTTCTACATACGTCACTTTACCGAAAAAAAACCAATGAGTAATTTATGCAGTCACGAAAGCTTTAATTCTTTATTAACATCCATATACTAAAAGTAAATGCATAATAATACAAATCATACAAGATAATTAAAAAAACATCACTAAATTATACTGTAAATTTGGAAGTTGTATTTGCCTTTGATGATGATGGGGGTGTGATGATGATGGTGGTGTTATATGAGAAGAAGTCGGAGTGAGGACTACTTTTTGAGCTAAACTCATCACTTTTTCTGCCTTTTACCCTTGCTCTCACTTCCCCCACTCACTTTACACTGAGACCCCACGATCGAAATAAACACACCACAAATAAGGCTAATTTAGTACAAAAGTAAGAGCTTTAAGCATGCGGATGGCGGCACAACTGATACAATGGCTTGGGTGCGTATACGGGGACCAAAATCCACTCATGCGCTGCACAAGTACCTCTCCCCCATGACGTGACGTTGCCAAATAATAAATCGTCGAAGGGAAAAGGCGCAAAAGTTAAACTGGTATACAATATAAAATTGCAAAAAATCTAATTTCGCAAAAAAAATCCACGAATTAAGAGGTTTTACTGGACAGCTCAGAGAACAAGCCAGATATGAAGGGTTTAAACTAATATTTAACAGTACAACTTCAGTTTGCAACAACAATGATGCAGTACAGGTGAAGCGTTAATAACAAGGATGCTATCTGCTTTGATAAATTATTATTACAAAAATAATTACACAAAACTTCAGAACAGGTGTATTGAAATTAAAGGCCTTTACAATGAGTCAGTGGCTCAGCAAACACGGACTAAATATTGTAGATTGCAAATGAGTTGAATGAACAGATGCATGAACATAATTAAATGCATAATCGTTCACAGTGGAAAGGTTTTACACCGTAATAGTCGAGGTAAAGAGGCTATCAAAGCGAATGCCACGGATTCCACCATACTTAACCATGGCCTTATTTCTTCGACTAATTCCCACAGCTGCTGCAAAATCAACACCCAACCCCTAAGGTCGACTCATATACTATTCCACCATCTGGATTTAGATCTTGAATTTGATCATCAACCATTGCGTACCTAATCCAAGGCCTCTCTCGGAAACTTTCCTTACTCCATCCTGCACATGTGCTTCACTAATCACAAACCTCCTCTTCAAGATGATATCAACAGTATTTCCCTTTCAAAGATGAAACAAACAATATCCCGAAGTGTTTTTGGCATCAAGGGAGCAACTAGAGACACGTATTGTGCTCAATCTTAACTCAACAAACTAACCTTTGTAGGCGTGCCTTCCGAGAGCTTGGCCAGCTGCCACAGGATGATATAGTGCGGGCACTGAAGTGCTTGTACAACCACCTGCAGCAGGAAACAACAAGCCACGCATCAGTGCAGTGTAAACGAGAAACACGACAGTCTGGAGACAGAAGGAGATAGCGGGTCGATCAAAAGCAGGTGGTCTAGGAATGAACAAGAGTCGATACTGCAAATACAAGTCTTCAATAACATTTGCATTTTAATGTCATAGCCCATTCCACATGTGTTAATAAGGTTAAGTGTGCTACAGGCCAATCACCGGACTTTAACGAAGCGAGGTGAGTTGGTGCTGGGAAGGAAGATGAAAAATGAAACTTGTCACTAACATTGTTTTATTACAAAAATAGAGGGCAATGACACATCTTCAACTATTATAAGGCAGTGTTCGTGAAGGTGGTGAGGATTTTGTGTTAAACGCATTTGTACGCCACTGCCTACGCAATCACTAAATGTTTAAATCGACGACATAAGCCACAGCTCTCATCTTGTAAATACACATTGAAAGGTACATGTCCCAGACTATCCAACATTAGTTTGAAACTTTGGTATTGAGAAAGTGTTAAAAGTAAAGACCATGAGTGTAATTACGGCACTCTTGTGATGTCACTGTGAGGCCATCAATAACATGGAGCACTGTGATGGGAGGATTCAACCCTAACTTTCAAGACTCTCATAAACGGAGATTTAAACTCATCAGACAACCCGGGAACAGCCTTTGTGTTTTCATTGGTTGCACCTTATTTTAAGCGACATTATCATTGCGTTGTGATGAGTAATTGGCTGGACTGTGTCACAGACACATACATACCTGTTCAGGAATATCTCCACTTTCAATTCCTGTCCTCAGGAGCTTATAGCAGCTTCCAAAGAGGTCCCAGCGAGTCAGGTCGTGCGCACTACCAAGTGCAAAACGAGTCAGAATAAATTGATGCAACTTGCATAAAGACCAACAAATGGCAATTTAAATAGAGCATTGAACCCATTTTGTTTAATATGTTAATAACGTAGGAAAAGAGAGTCTGCATTTCCATTACTTTTTCCCTTTGACTAAGAAGCCGAGCCGTCACACGGTTGCCAGGCTGAAATGAGCAAATACTACTATTGAATACATTTAACCAAAAGTACACTTTTAAAAGGAAAACTGCTCCTTGAAGAACGTTTTACAGAAATGTTTAATGAAGTGTGAGACAGCCCAGGCAGTAGTGGATTAGAACCACGGTTAATTAAAAAAAATCAAATCGTTTCCTGCTCAAATGCAGGTACGGGGCAGCATCATTTAGAGCCCTCTAACATTCTTAGGGCAGGGGCACGGCACTCAACAGGAAAGCTTTCCCGACTTCCTACAAAGCGGTATTCATTTTATTAACCACAAATAAATGAAGGGCTGAGTAAACTCCCTCCCCATCCAATAATTTAACGCGCAGTTATCTGATTGGGAGCTGACAAAAACCTGGCAGGATATTCTATGAATACTAGTATTACTACAGCTCGCCAGCATCAGCAGCCGACAAGTTCGATTGGTTCCACTTTAATGAGTGCTTAGACTCCATCTGCAATCTGGCTGCTGATTAGAACTATTTGGTATCAGGATGTTGAGCCAAAGTGTCATGCAGTTTAAGCATCGCATCTGCAACGACTCACTTGTGGAAGGCTGTTATTCTCTTCAGCGTTGCCTGTATGCTGTAGATCTCTTCATCATCCGGTTCTTCACCCTGTGGAGAATGTAAGTACAGACCACTGTTGATCCCGCTGCTGGAAGAAGGCTTCCCCATACCGTGTGGGTCACAGGAGTTTATTGTCCATACTTTCCCACCCTGGTCAGTGCAGGTTGAAGGAAAATAGCATAGAGGTACAGTACGACAATGTATGTTGCTGCACTGCCCTCTGCCACATAGTCCTACAGCCTTCAGTAGTTATTTGTGCTTGGTGGTCTCCCAACAAAGCACTATCCAGGCTCAATCCTAATTTACTACCAAGATCTGACCCAGATCAGATACTTTCAGAGTGATTTTGGTCGTACAGCGTACAGAAATTGACCCACCTCCTGCACAATGTCGTCCACGAGGTGGTTGAACTTGTCCACCTGCTGGTCAATGAGCTGCGAGAGGGCGATGTCCACGCGGTTGTGGATGGCGAACTCCTCACTGCACAGCGCCTGGAAGGTCTTGCTGCACGTCTCCAGCACGTCGGCCTCCACGTGCTTCTCCACAATCTCGTGCACCTGCTTCAGCAGCGCTTCCAAGTGCTGCAATCAGACGGGAGGCATTGCAAATGTGGGATGCAATGTGCACACAGCTCTCGTGCAGAATTTATTGAAGCAAACAGTACGATGGAAAATGTTCCGGTAGAATTTTGGTCACGTATTTCCGACTTGTATTTTAACGCCTAGCCTCCTGTGTTTAAGGAACTTTATTCTGAGTACAGAGTATGTGAAAAGTGGTAATTTATGCAATACTCGGGTTCATTAGTATTAATATTTCAAAATATGTACATCATAAACCTCTCTGTGCAGAACGAGATTTTATAGAAACAAGCCACTGCTAGCATACGCAATGTGAAATGTTTTCATATGCAAACTGACCTTTTCCAACCTCCCTGTGCTGTAGATCTCGAGGTCAAAATACTGCGGGATCTGCAGTAGATTCGTTACTTTCTCTGCGTCGACGGCGTACTGCGGAAAAGATTGTTCGGCAAAATACACGTTAGGTTTTTGTCATATAAGAACCAAGGTTATGAAACTATGCATTTATATCCTGAAGGTCATAGATATGGGTTGATCATCAATGAGAAGTATACAAACATGTCAGAAAGTCTGGGACGCAGTCTGGGTACATATGTACAATGGAAGGGCTATTTGTTTGCCTGACTGCATCCTTCCTATATCAGCTCGGCGGCGTAGGCGAGTGTGAGTCACCTTGGCGAGCAGCTGTGGAAGAACAACAATGAAGTGCTCCGTCAGCTTCGTGCGGTCGTCCAATTGCGTCTTCTTCTCTTTTGCTGTCAGGATCTGAAAATTTCACGTGCAAAAATAATTCCGTTTCTTGAAAAAACCCCGCAAATTCCAGAACAAAACGCTTCAGATCTTTGCAATGTATTAATTTGGTCATTTCGCTCACAAATGACACCGACTGAAAAGATGTTGTATGGAAACACCGTATCAACATGTCGTAAAACCCCACTAACAGGTACAATGCACTGCAGTGTTCATGTCGACTGACCCTTTGCAACCCATCATCCCACTATGCCACCTTGCTCACATGGCACTCACAAAGACCCTTGTTCAACAACACGGCAATGGAACGGACATGCAGCAAGGCTGGCGCGACACACCCACCACATCCACTCACCCGTTTCGTGGTTCCTCGCCCAACGGGTGGGTGGCACTCCACCGCTTGCCGAATGGTACACAGCAAGATCTCTATCAGAGCGCTCTCCTGTCTTTCGGTCAAGGCTGGTGATGAAATAATGGAAGACGGCAAAACCAGACACGGTGAGGGCACAAGTGAAGACTCAAAAGTGGGGAAACAAAGGAAACCCTGTCTGTCTTAAGAGCCTCAATAACCACCATCATTAGCAGCATGCAGGGGCAGAGCCAGGATTTTGACTTTGGGGGGGGCTGACTTCAATATTCTGAGATATCCAGTTTATGTTTTCCAATGGGCGCCACAAATGTATAAAAAACATTTTTTTATTGGATTTGAACGCGGAGTTTATTAATAGGTCGGAGCCACTGATGCGGCTAATAAGTTTGAAAGGCTGCCGCTCAAGCAGCCTGCAGCATTTTGCAGCAGCCGGATATCCGGTTATCCCGATTACCGACTTTCCTAAAATTTCACAGGGGCTGAGCCCCCCCCCAGCCCCCCCTGTGGCTCCGCCCCTGGCAGCATGAACACAATCATCATCTCTTTTCATGTTTATTAAGATGCACATAAATCACGTACGAGGAGGGAACCATGGTTTACGTTACAGAAATTGCCTACAACTAATGCAAATTGGTCTACTCTTGCCAGCAGATGCATTTGATCATCGTTACACCTTCAAAACATCCCTTTCTTGATTGGTTACACAAGTCATGACCTATACCTGTGGTCAAAACATGAATCTCTTTGCAGCCTCCAACATCATTTTTTATACAGCGAGCAGCGCTCTGAAAACATGTTGCAAAGTTACCATCAGAAGATCTATATTAAAAACCGCAGAATATTTGTAATCTTTCATCTCACTACATTTGCGAACCAATTGGGTAAGGTGCGTGGGTTCGTACTGGATTTTACTTCAGCTGTGTGTGTCTGGGTCCATAACCCACAAAATAATTTCACACCCAGCACACCACCTCCAATATACCTTTGGCTATGCATGTATGTTGAACTTACTTTGCACCGTACGTAGCCAACCGTGCTAATCAGGTGTGTTATGGCTGTGGATACTAATCACGTGTCACATCCTGGTCTACTGGCGACCCAGAAAATATGCAATGAGAAATTAAGCTCTGGGTGTCCACGGATGTGTATTATCTTGTCCTCACCTTCTTCCCCCTGCGTGGGCTCTGCAAGCAGCAGCTCCGTCATGCCTTCCCAGTCCTTGAGCAGCTCGGCAGCGCAATCCCACAGGCTGTCCACCAGGTAGGCGGCATGGTCGTGCAACTGAGGCGGTGGAGAGGCACTATGGTCAGAATGTCATCGGCATCGCCAAACGCAGGTTCGATCCCCTTATCTGGTCACTCTTAATGAACTCTGTAAGTGTGCTGGGAGTTAAGGTTGGAGGCTCACGATGCTGCTAAGAGCCGGATCCAATAATGTTTGTGTTTGGTTTGAAATGTTTTAAAAGTCAGTCCACTGTATACAACTGCAGTTCACACTGGTTGAAGTTCAAGCTCCTGCTATTTTCTGACACCGAGTATGAATAACCACAAAAGCAGGGGCAATGAAAGAAATAGAATGAAATAAAAAATATATCATGCGACATTGATATATTGTAATAAAAAAGCAACTACAATACATATTTATTATACTTGTTTACCGATGATAAATCACCAAGTCTTAAGACTTTTTTTAGGAGGGTCCTGTCAAGCGTTCGCAGTCAGGGGCGGTGTTGCCATGTGTAATATTTAGAGTATTTTGCAGGTAACTTTTAGCATTGGCATGTATGGCGAACACCAGTTATAAATGTTTTTTTTTACTATTGGAGGAAACCCGAGTATTTGGGGAGAAAACACCATGTAGAACACAAAAAGGCACCCGAGTCAGGAATAAAAGCCAGCATATTATTGCTGCGAGGTACCAGGGTTACAACTGTGCCACCCTGCCGCTCTCAGGAAATAAAACACAATACATTTACAGACATAGCACCTACAGCGCGTATAGACTTAAAGAACCATTTTAGAGAAGCGAGATGTCAGGACAATCCTTTATGCCCCCACACATAAGTTTGGTTGATATCCGCTGATATTTACATACAATATTTTGCCTACATTAGAATGTTTTTTTTAATCTTCCCATATGAAGAGTGGCTGTGAATGTGCTCTTTATTAGAACTTGTGTGCGGAGGTGGCCTCATGGTCCGTGTTATAACACAACTATGATGCCAAGATAGAATCCAGGTTTCAGCCACCCACGATTCAACTGGGTTCTCAAGTGTCGCGAGATAATGGTCAAAGACCAGCAATCAATAACTTCAGTCATCGTAATCAATAATTACATTTGGTTTGTTACTTAGCTTGGCATTTTTCCAGCTTTGATAATTACATTTTTCTGTTATATTAGAATGCAACAAATACTCTTTGCAGGGCATAAAAGGTGTGTCAATTTGCATGGAAAACTGAAGTGACTTCAGAAGTGGTTCTGAAATATTATCTTCTGAGAAAGTGCTGTTATAGTTGCATAGGAAATATTGATTTGACTATGATGCTAATACAGCACGCATATAAAAACTATGAGAAGAAAGTAATTTTCTTTGCTGGCAAAGCTCACCTCGCTTTCAAGGAAGAAAAAGACGAGGGTTTTGATGAGGTTGCCGTTTGGACTCCTCCGCCCTCTTCTCTTGGCCAGTGCCTCCTCTGCCTCTGGGTCGTGCCTGCTGAACAGCCTGCACAGACACACGTGCACACACACACACACACGTGTGGTTCCCCATGGGCAGATTCCATGGCTCAGATCAGCTCCTTTACTTGCCAATGGCTACCGGAGGTAGAAAACTTGGTGGTGCATGTCCAATATGTGTGGAAGCTGCTGATCACATGTGCATGGGATAGGCACCAACAACGTTACGATCAAACAGCGTATCAATTCGCCCTTATTTTGCCTATACGAGCAAATTGGTACCACTAAATCTTGACTTAAAGCTTTCGTGACTGAAGTAATTCATATTCTTTGGGTCTTTTCGTAAAGTCACGTAGATAGAAAACAAAAAAATAAAATAAAATGTTTAAAAATTAATAATAAAATATATAAAAATAATAAAAAACAAAACCACAATAAAATAATAAATTGAAAATAATTAAAGCAAAAAACCCACGACATTTCGACAGCTTGTGTTGCGATCGAAACGTCGTGGATTTTTAGTTGATTATATTCAATTATTTTTTTAAATATTTAATTATACTATTTAAATTGCTTATTTTTATTGCGGTTTTTTGCTTTATTATTTTAAATGTATTTTTATTATTTTAATTTTCAATTTTATTATTTATATTTTTCTATCTTTGTGACTTCCCGAAATAACCAAGAATATGGGTCTATTCGACTGTAAATGAAAAAATGCATCACGTCCAAATAACACAAGTCAACGTTTTAAACGTGGAACAAAAAAAAAACAGTTTATTTAAGGATCCAGTAAACCACCCAGTGCAACATTGCATGTGGATGGGGCAGGCGTTGGGTGGACCCTGCTAAGGGTGCCCTCTGCTGGCAGAGAGACGATTGCAGAAAAGTGCTGACACCTGCTGGTCTCCTTTAGGCAATGCCAAATCTCGCCTCGCACACCATTAATAGCAGCAGGCACTGCGCTGAGGCTTAACAGTGATCGGAGAGGGGGCAGTGGTGTGTAACAATGTTGGACCCTGTTTTGTGTGCTCTTCTTAATTGTCCACTGATGCAGAAGATAGCCGCATCTGCCGTATTACATTATGATGCGGTTATAGGCAGACAATTCTTTGTGAAGTAGATTGAAACTGGCGGATTTTTCTGTGGGTTTCACAATGAAGCGCTTCATATTCTTGGTTCTTTCGGTAATAAAATATATATAAAACACAATAAAAATTCTCACGACGTTTCGACTGTAATTTTATTGTTTTTATATATATTTTATATTATTTTATTGTTTCCCTTCAACGTGACTTTACCGAAAGAACCAAGAATATGAATCAATGCAGTCACGAAAGCTTTAAATCAAGATTAAGTGCTTGTTTAGGGACATTGGCATCGTCCCAGGGTGCTCTCCAATGAGCCTCGGGATCGAAGGCGGTGCTTTGAGGGCTTGTGTTCAGAACAAAAGTAGGTTGTGGTACATTAAGCTAGGATACTAATGCATAATAAAGAGGCATTGCATCCCTGTGATCATTATGCCTGCTTATTGGCAAACACAATTTGGTCACTCGTGCAAAAGAGTTCCATTGCAAATAGTAGGAAGATTAAACTTTCTGCGAATAATTTAATATTTGTTCGACACGCAAGATACATTTCCATTCTCTCAGGCACATTAATCCATCAAGGCTGCAACTGACGGCACAACACTAACAATGTGTGCTTGACATATGAGAAAAAAATTGGCAATTTGTAAACAAGGCAGACAATTGGTGGTTATTTTTTATTACGTGATTATATTTTGAAAATCATTTAATAGGAGTCGGAATCCCATCGAAATTCAACACTCATGGGTATATTTAATCTCGTCACTGCCCCCACCCCACCGTCCAACCAACGAGCTGCTTCCATACAACCCAATGGCACATGGCTATGGTTTAAACAAGCTCCTGCAAACGGCAGAGCTGATAAACAGCACCATGACGGATATGCTCAATTCTCAAGAGCCAATGGGCCTAAATTAATTATTTTATTTTGACCTCGTTCGCATTAACTACATAAGCGTTCAAATGACACCCGTTTTACTGAAATTGGTCGAGCAGTAACGGTAAGGCCCCTGTGGAATCATTTACATATTCCCCTGTACAGCAGCATGACACACGCGATCCCATTGTGTACCTGGTAGTTCAAAGCAATGTGCTTGGAAGTTCACGTCTTTGCGTGTACGGTGGCTCGTACGTGAGTGCACGTGGGTAATGCATTGTGCTATCAAGGGCCCTTACTTGCGGTGGAGGAACTCTCCAGCTGCCACAGCGACAGGCCTGTGGGCCGAGTAGACGAGGTGGTACACATTCTCACAGTCCTCGTTCGAAAGCACCTCCTCGCTGCTTGTCCTGCAGGCAAGACCGGGGGGGGAGTGGTATATACGTCTCAGCTGAAACAGAGGTAATTCCTCGTACATCTCTCATGGTAAAAATTTATGAGCAAACAGGAATTGGCCTGGTGGTTTAGCGAGCTCATGCCATGTCTAAGTACCGAGCTGGGGGCCCAATAATAAATATTCTCCCAAAACATTTATTACCCCGAAAAGAAATCTTCATTCCCCTTCTGAATATTTGTACTACTCTTTTTTGAAACAAAGTAATCCTCACCATAAACCCCCAGCCCTAACTAAAACAAATGTTTGCTGCTCGAAACAAATATTATTTCCCTGGGGATGAGCGCCAATATTCATTTACAATGGCGTCATTAATATCCTGCATTCGAATCAGGGTTTCAGCCACCGATGATTAGACCAGGTTCCCCAAGTCTCGTGAGTTAATGGTCTTGGAACCTGTCAACTCCGAGGACCAAAACTGTTTCTGGTGAAGAACACCTCTTTAGAATGAATTGCGATCAGATGTCCCCCCCCATGCCCACCTTAGGACAGATAAGAGGTGAATGAAGGGAGCACATATCTATTTTTTAACAATCTTCCTAGAAGTTGGATTAATTCACTGCTTTCTGTAAGAGTTCCAAATAGAAATCTGCGTCATGACCAGGCACTGATATGCGCAACTGGAATTGTAAGAAAATTTTTTAATTTACACAACAGTGTAATGAATGAAGCCACCATTATCGCAAACCATTTAAACTTTCACACCACAGTTCCACTATTTGTCCAGTTATTCAGCACCTCAATTTCCAGGCTCCGAATGCAACTTCTTTTTCACCTATCTCTCAAAAGTTACAGCCTAAGATATGGCAGGATGCAGGTGTGACTCACTGTAGGATAAGGGTGAGGAGCTTGATAGCCTGCACAGCAACATCGTACTCTTTGTCGAGTGTCATCGACACTATCCGGTCCTGTGTGGTAAAAAACAATATTTACTTGATGGCTTCACAATGCAGTTTTTATAGTAAAAAAAATACAGTTTCTATGTAATGAAAAGCAAGACCAAACCAAGCTTCCTTTCAATCTCTTGCTCAACATATTTCTTTCATTGTTTATTATTTCCATGGTGGCATATCCAAAGCAAGGGGCGTGTACATACCTTGAACCGGTTGGTGAAGAGCTCCAGTTTTGCTGTGAGCTCCTTGCTGCTGTAGAGGCCCTGCAGGGTGGTGAGGCACTTCAGTCGCACCTCTCCTTGCTGCAATGCACACACACACACGCAACTCAGCCATTAACACACTATAGCCACAAACTTTTCTCCTTTCACTCACGCTTCCCACCTATTAAGAGATGGAGTGCTCATTAGAACTGACAATTTACTAGGAATCCCATAAATAATACACAACTGTCTGCTATACGTATGGATCATATTTAAAAACCAGAAAGGACAGAATTGCTTCTAGTCACCATTAATTAATGAAAACTATAGTTCCTTGGGCACATTAGCAGATCCAGCAAGCTATCCAAACCTTACTCTTTGATTCTTTCGGTAAAGTCACGTAGATATAAAATTAATAGATCACGACGTTCCGATCGCAACAGAAGCAACCGCCATCAGGCAAAACAAACACAGCAGGAGAACTGCTTCCACAGAGCACCACGGTAGGCACGAGCAAAAAAAGGTTGCCCAGAATACTTGGATTCAGAACATCGCGGACTCAATGGGCTTAAACTACGAGCAGCTGACCCGGGAGGTTAAGGATCAAGCAAGGTGGAGGAATATTTGAGCTGCCAACATGGTGCCACAAGGACCAACGTAGAACAGTCGTGGGAGATGGATAGATTGTGTGCTCACAAGGACACCAGCAAGAACTGTCTTCCATGGCACAATTGCCCCATAAGCCATACTTGAAGCTTTGGACCCAGAGGGTTTCAGGCAGAGGGCTGCCTGAGACTACCCTCAACCCTGGCCTCAAACCAAGGTGTGCCCAAAAACGGGGAGTACAATTTTCTCCTCGGCTTCACAAAAGCAGAGCACTGAAATTACTGATAACTTAAAACATGAATTACACAGATCGAGTATATGTGCTTGTGTTGTACTTTGTGAGCAATTAATCAAAATTTTTTTGTAAAATTTATCAAAACATATGATGTATTTTGGCAATAAAAAATATAATATGCATTATTCGAATGGCTTGCTTTACAATTAATAAATTAGCACTTCATAATAGAAGTAATTAACCATTATATTAAAGCAGTACTTTAACACTTGTATGGTAATTAATGTGCATTTATAATCGCACGCTCTAAACATCTTTTACATCACAATGCTGTATATCATTATTTAATTATAAGCTGCTCATGTAAAATATGTTGCGAAGGTGTAAATCCCCACTACACCACCAGAGGCACTATTGGATGTAAAAAAATACAAAACAATAACGCACATTGTATTACTAACAAGCACGGATTTCAGTACTTTAGTGTAAGCTATGCACAAGTATGGATTCACGTTAAAATATTGTGCAAATGAAAAAAACAAACAAGCACTCTTGGCCAGCATTCACCAGTGATCCAATAACCGAATCCCGATTTACAATTACTAAAATACAATGTGAATATTTACTTTCTCAAATGCTGGGATGGGTCTACTATCCCCGTGAGAAGTTGGTCTAATTGGGTGAGATACACTCTATGGGCCAATCTGAAGTAAACAACATGAGTGAGACATCGTTGGCGGTGAACATGAAACAATCGTAGTATGCTGCCGTCACAATGCCGTGCTCCTTGCCTTGTCGTGCAACGTCCACCCAACGTATTTGAGATAAGAGTCGTTGAGAAAGGCCTCGCTGTAGCACTTCATCCACACTCCGATCTCTTCCATGCACACGGCACGGATTTCCGCAATCGCATCCCTGTTCCCCACACACCAACATATGCACTCAGAGGATGCCCGTTCCACCGTGCGAACCTTGCACAAAACGTTAACAATTGAGCAATTCAAATGTCTTCTAAGGCATACATGAGATGAATCGAATGGTGTATAAACATCTATTTTCCTGAATGTATGCGATTTTTTTGAAATAATTACTTTAAACTAACGGTCAGAATAAAATCAAACGAGGCAGAATAAAGGCGACAGTACAATTTAGACATTACAGACGAGACCGCACGAGAATGCACAAGAGATTGAGGCTAAAATCGAATCTTGATTCCAAATCGTGTCAACTGTGCTGGGCGGTAAGCGGTTGAATAGTTACATGCTAAGCAATAACAGTCGTAATAAAAACTGAGCGGTTTCACAACGCCGCCGCCGGCAGTGGTGGAATTGCAGCCTGTACTTTACAGCGCTTCGCGGAGACAGCTTTAGAGCGCTGGCTATTTGCCACAAATGATTGCCCCCCACTGAGCGGCAGCAAGGCTTATTTATTACGAGGACATCAAAAGCGTCGGATCAACGGCCCCGTGAAATAAATAAATAAGATGGTGGGGGGGAAAAAAGCTGCTGCCACGTGCTGCAGCCACTGATTTAGGACAATCACATTGCCAATGTTACAGGAAGAGGCATATTGCACGAGATGCCATCTGTTTTAAAAGCCCCCTGGGTGAGATTTTATTTTCATTATGCTTTTTTGCCAAGATATGCATATAAAAATGTTATTTGGCACACACAGCATGACAGCATGATGTACGTCACATAAAATTGAGCTTTACGAAGGCTAAGAGACACTTGCTCAGTGTGCATTATTGCCCATAGTTTTTTTTTTGTAACACACAACTTGCTGCCATTTAATTACCACAGCTCAAAATACCTGTATCTGTGTACAAACACGCCCTTGAAGATTGCATTCATCATGTTTTCTATCTCGTCCTGGTTCTCTTGTAACTGTGGAAGAAAAGGAAAAACCCAGGTGCTGGATGTAAAAAGCACGTTCATGCTTTTTTGATTGGATTCATGATGAAAGAACAATGCACTTTTAAATCATCTAGATTGAAAACGAATTTCTTTATAACTGATTTTTTTGTGTTTAGTTTGTTATCCTTCCCTGCACCTCCGATTAGCATGGGTGGCTACATACGGTGCAAAAGAAGTTCATACATACATGCCATATTCAGTAAAAAAACATTAATTAACAATTTCAACACTTTCAGGAATGTGTGGAACTGGAAAAATACCCACGAATGTAACATATGGTTAAGACATGCAATTAACAATATACTGCAGTAAAGAACATGGAAATTGACAGAGCATAATAAAACTATTGTCGTCGATAAATAAACAAGCAACACGTTACCTCTTTCCTCTTCTGCATGAGCAGCTCAAGCTTTTCGCTGGCACGCTTTCCAATGTTCTTGTTACGCTCTGCCTCGTACTGCCGCTGCGTGTTGTCCAGGTTGATGCTCAGATTCAGCGCCACATTCACCAATGCCGTCATCAGCTTCATGGCTGTGAATTGCCAGCGTCAGTACAGCATAATGCTATCAGGACTACCGCACCACAATAATATAACCATCATTACCAGTGGTAACAACGGTCTCCACATCATTGCCATCTCGAAGTGCCAGAGTGATTTATTTTTAAAATTCAGTTATTGTTCACAATAGAAGAGTTTATTGCTTTGGAGATTTATAATTTAAAACACAAATAATGAATACAAGTAGGATGTTTATGAATGTAATTAATATAAAACATTATAATTCTGTAGAAGATAAATAATAAAATAAAAAAACATTCTTTAATAAAATTCTCAGATAATTTTATTACATTATGTAAATTGCCAGATAATTTTATATATTGTTTTATTTTTATATTTTTTATGCGATAAGCATCAACGCTTTACCGAAAGAACCAAGAATATGAATCCCTGCAGTCACGAAAGCTTTAAATCGAAAATTATCATTCCGATTTATAAGTTAGACAATGAGTACAATTAAGATTATGTTTATTAACATAACTAACAATCTTGAAATTAAACATTAGCCAAAATATTGCCATGACTACACCAGTTACACAAGATGCACTTAAAGAAATGGCAGGAGCCATCCAACATTAAAACTCAAATGAGTTGTACACAATGCAGTCATTCCCAGCACACGCCCCCTCTGAAAGAGTACTTAAAATGTTTTATTCTGAAGAGTGTTTTATCAAAAACTTTTAAATTCAAGTATATTGCTTCATTTTCAACCACTCCTAGCGTATGGTTTGGTCCAATTGTGATAATCATCAACGCTTAACGATCCTTTAGACAATACAGGTTAAGGAATTGGTAGGAATCACTCTTAATAAAATAGAGATTATTATTATTATCCTACCCCACCACCTTGCGCAAGCACAGCAAAGCCCACCTACCGGCCAGCGTGCTCGTGTGCCGGAACGCCCGAACCTGCGAGTCCGAGAGGCCAGCGAGCAACGAGATGACCGTATCCATCATGTACTCATCGTAGATGACGCTGTACTGGCACTGCCGAACGAGCACACCGATGAACTCGCAGAAGTTTGACTTGAACTTCTTCCACTGCGGCCCCGTCATGGTGAGTGGATAGTCTCCACTGTCCTGTTCATCAGTCAAGCCGCATGGTATTCATGGCTAAAGGTCACGCAATTGAATAAACATTCCCATTGCTCCGCATCCATGAGCAGCAGATTCATTATATTATTTTGAGAAAAAAAATTCAAGAGTGAGCATACCCACTCAAATGAGCATTGGGCAATGTTCTTTTCTGCTTGTGATATTTACCAAATTATATACATTATACATACTAAAAGAAAACCACAACTTGGTACTCATTTTATTCACACATGTAAATAAGACAATGGATATATTATCAGAGTAAGTTTTTTGTTTGCATTTTCTCCACAAGTATTGTGGTTAATGCAGACATGCTTCCTTGTAAAAGGTTTCAGTTTGGTGTTTTAACAACTTAACACCTGTTTTGTTGCCAAATAGAAGGGGGAAAAACCTATTCTCGTGTAAATAATTGCTACCCCAATATTACATCACGGCACAGGGGCACCACCGGGACCCTGCCGCTGTTTTCGGGAAAGCGCTGGTACTGCTGTTACATCGTGGGGGCATGGGTTGGTGTTTAGTGGAGGTGGGTGGTGTTGATAAAGTGGGGTGCCAGCACGGTCGACTGAGGGCCCCCCCCCCTCTGCCCTGTTATCTTGTTGGACCTTTTCCGGGACTCTCGGCTGATGCTAGGGTTTTCAGTGCCAATTGCTAGCTCGTGTCAATGGACGGGTTGTCGTTTATCCCTCTGTGACATCCCTCATTCATTGTCTTTTTGCCTTCTTTTTTGCCATGATTATTTGTAAGGTGCTTTGGAATGGCAAGTCATGCAGATTTGGATCCTTAAACTCACAATATTACAATTTTAACTTAGGTACTCTGTCACACCACCACCCAAATACATTATTTTAAATCATACCTCGTCAAACTCTTCTGTCATCTTCCGAATAATTTCAGCATTTTGCATATTCCTGAACATTTCCGCAGTAACAACGCCTAAAGAATAAAATTCAGTGTCACACAACGCAGCACACATGACAAAAGATGCTGTTTGTTATTGATACAAAACGTGTCGATCCCTATTAATTACGTCTCATTCTGACAGTGTACCTATGGCACAGGAGAGCCTTGACTTGGCTGGGTTCCGAGGCTCGTATGACGACAAAAAAAGTGTCCACTACCAAATGTTATGTTTAACTTAACCCTGATAAACTGTGACATATATGCGATTAAACCAAGCCCAATAGCAAACAAACAAAACACTTTTACGGGCCCAGCCCAAAATTACCAGGCATAAACAAACATTTTCAGCTGCGGGCGACTAAAAAGATTCGTGAATGTTACTGACCTTTGCAGCCGGAGCACTGGATAAAGAAGTTGATTAGGTCAAGCAGGGCACTGTCCCGATCCTGCTTGTACGACTCGATCCAGTCATCCACCACAGACTGAATGCAGATGCATTTTCAAGCAACAGACAACAAGGGTTAAGGGTATTATATGGGCAGTGTTTAGTGGAATGTCATGCTTCCCTAAGGCAATCAATCAATAAACTTATGTTTGTTTATATTATATGGGTGAGACCTGGGACACCGTTGTGCAAACCGAGACAAATTTGTCGATTTCTGAGAATGTAAACACTCTCAGCTTGTGCAAATTCCAACATCTCACACAATGCTGATACTTCACATCATCAAAAATCTATGGCATACACTTATAAGATTCAATAACCAACAAACTAAATTAACATTTTTATTTACTTCTACGGGCATTCTGCATTCATGTTGGACCATTTTTACATTCCAACACACCAGACCGACCCCTCATTAACTCATAATTCTTCACAGTATATGTAGCAGCAAAGTCAATTCCATTGTTGCTTTAAGAGTGAAAATGGTGTAATTACGGTTGACTCATTCCACTTACTTTATGAGCCAAGGCTGCTATGTGTAATAACATTCCGAAGATGAGCAATCATCCATTACCAAAGAATGAATTGTCTATGATGAGTGTTCAACCTTGTGTAATCGTACTAGATCATCATATTCCAAGATCAGGGGCAATATCCCTCAAAACCATCAAAAAACAAGAGGAATTCCACTATAGACGTCTTTGCTACCACACTCCAGCGGTGGCCTGCAGGTTTCCAAGCTGCTTTCATTCGGTTGTGAAATTATTTTTGAAAAATGTCAATAAAGTGTATTTATGACGAGAAAAAGAAATCAGGCAGATTAAGAGAATTGAGTGACGTTATTAGAGACTGCTGAGAAAGACTAAGTATGCTAATTGCCTATATCGTACTACTGTATATTACAAAAAATGTTGCTGGCTGGCTGCCTAGCTGGCTGGCTACACGCCGCTTAACGTGCGTTCTGACTGGCCGGAGGGGGGGGCGTGGGTGGGGGGACGACTGCGAGAATGTCCGGGTGGAGGCCTTGGGGGTGGCACGTGCGGGAGGGGGTGGGGGGGAATACCCATGGGGTGTGGAGGTGGGGATATTAGGGGTGGCAGAGGACCGTCGTTCAACGATGGGTACTTTCACTTTAAAAAAAAAAGTTTTGCTGGCTGGAGAGACAGACAGATGGATGGTCACGTCCAAAGGACGTGCGGACTTGCTAGTTCACAGATTTGGCGACTAATCTAACAATATTTTAAGAAGGGAAGGGAAAAGGGAAGGGGAAAGGGGGGGGGGGGGGTCAGGTGAATGAAAGGAACAATAAATTGTGCCTACCCACTACACCAACATTTATTAACTCTGAGCGAACGGACTACATGTTCGACTGCTTTCGTCGACTTAGCTAAGAAAATGACTAAATTCAACCTACACTTGGCAAAAACGCTGCAGGTTGTCAGTCGACAAAGAAATTTAAACATTTTAATCAAATATGTTGTGTGGGGTGGGGGGGGGGCAATCACGGGAAATTACCTGCATGGCGCTCTTGCCCAGCTTGACGACCTCGAAGAGCGTGACGGCCTCCACCTCGCCGTTCTGTGGCTGCTGGTGGACTCCGTTGGCCCGGCCCTGGGGGCCCATGGTGGAACCACCCCGCCCGATGGGGCCCCCCCCAACCCCCCCTCGGCCACGGCCGCCCCCCCGACCACGCGCGCGCTTCGGTGCCTGTATTCCGCCAAAGCACCACCCCGCCAAAATAAATGCTGATCATCGCGTTTAATGTAATATACATTTAACTTGTGAAGGCACATTACTCAATGGATATACACACAAAGGCATACAAGCAAGCAGACTCTATGCGATAGCATCATTAACCTGTACGATTCCTGCAACAACAGTGTGGGTTGCATGTACTTGTTGCCGTTACTAATAGAGTGGGTTTGGTTTGAGTCATGTACTTGAACTCACGGTAATAAAAAATAAAGTGAATAAAAAATAATAAAATTTTAATAAATAAAAACACTAATGTAGACTGTAGCCTGGTTCTTAATCGGAGTGAGTGTACTGGAAATCTCTAATGTGGTCTGTAGCCTGGTTATTAAGTTTGGTGAGTGTACTGGCAGTCTATAATGTAGACTGTAGCAATGGTTATTAAACTGAGTGAGCGTACTGGCAGTCTATATATAATGCAGACTGTAACCTGGTTCTTAACCTGAGTGAGCGTACTGGCAGTCTATAATGTAGACTTATTCTGGTTCTTTCAGTAATAAAAATAAGAATAAAAAAACAAAAACCATGACGTTTCGATCGCAACACAAGAGGTCGTCATCAGGAGAAGTAAGCCTCTAAAGGCAAACTGTTTATAAAGGTTTAGAGATGGGTGGGGCAGCTAATGTTAACTCAAATCAAAACATTGCACCTCGCTCCACACACCCACACTGCTGACGGTGGAGGGTGACAAGAAAAAACAAATCAAGTCATGACCCAAAGTGGTTGGATGACATCTTTCCAATGATTGCCGAGCTTATAACTATCCTCTCGGTTTAAATTGTGTCTGTATATATGGATGGCTTCATGAATTAACCTTTGTTAATAGCCAGTAGGCTTGCAAAGTACCATCGTCTTAGATAAATCTATTTCGTGTGAGCCAGCTGCATTCACTCCGATTAAGAACCAAGCTACAGTCTACATTAGTGTTCTATTTTTATTATTTTTTATTCACTTTCTTTTTTATTATTATTTTTCTATCTACGTGACTATACCGAAAGAACCAAAGAATATTAATTCCTGCAGTCACGGAAGTTTTAAGTCAAAATTTAACTCGTGGGTTACGTGACAATGTGACTTAATTTGTAGAGTTGCCTCTGAGCTTTAGAAACCAGCAGCTGAAGCGGTTAGGGGTAGGAACAGTTCAATTGGAGGGGGGGGGTGTCGGTAGGGGTTAGAGTGCCAGTTAATGAGAGGGACAGACGGATGAAGAGCGCGGGAGGTGGGGGGTGAGAGGGAAGATTGAAAGGGGCCACTCACGGTGCCGCCACGGGCTCCCCGCCCCGCCCGCTTGCGACCACGCCCCGCGCCCGCCCATTCTGGCTGGGAGTCCTGCGGCTCCTCCTCCTCCAGCTCCCCATCCGACTGCACCGACGGCTCGCTCTCTCTGTTGGGAACGACGCAGCCGTGACGTGCGTCACGAGCGCGGGTCCAGTCACGAGCGCGGGTCCAGTCACAAATGCGGGTCCAGTCATCACGAGCGCGAGTCCAGTCACGAGCGGGGGTCTAGGCACCGGCGCGGGTCTCGCTTAATGATTTGAACCTTGCACGCGTGCGGTTGCTACTGCTCTTAGCGGTGTACATCACAAAGAGCCGTGAGAGAACAATAAACATGAAGTTGCCTGATAAATGCTCGCAAGTGTGGTCATAGGGTAATAGCTGTTGCAATTGTGTTCCCGTAAATATCACCGTAATAGGGAATGCAACGGCACAGTTTAACTCTGAGGTTCATGTCAAGCAAGCAAGTGCCAATTCGAACATCCCAATAGCATGCATTAAATCAACGCAACACATCGAAACCTATTGCGGGCTAAAAGTGTTTGCATAACAGTAAACCAGTCAATTACTACATGCTATATATAGAAATCAGTACTCAACGTGACTGAATCAAGGTTTACAAACGTGCGTGTGTAAACATTTACATTGTAAATATTTAACTAAGTCTGTTACGTGGGGTTGCCTCTCCATAACCACAAGGCACTTTCACTTTCGTGGACCAAGTCTGCCGGGTAGCCCGAACACGTGCTTTACTCACTGCTGAACGCTGGCTTCTGATGCAATCATCCTTACAGCATCCTCCTCGGCCCCTCGATGAGAGAGTGATGGACAGCAGGGGAGAGTTCAGTCCAGAACCTGCGAGCTTGGGGAGGGCTGCCCCAACCGTTATGCTGAGAAGCCCCTAAAACCGCAACAAAAAACAAAATGCAAAAGGTGGCACCCGTCAGAATTTTCGTTTTCCATTCATCAAATTACATTTTCTCAGATAAGATCAGAGCTTCGAAATTTTTACAGTTCACGATTCACAATGGCGTGTGCAAGTTTAAGTCGCTATAGGGGGTCAACTCATGCCCCTAGGGTCGATAAAATAGTTACCACTTTTGGGAAGTCAACATTGGTTGTACCACTGCGAAAATATCGTGGAATCAAGAGTTGACAACCATTTACCTTTCTAAGTTTAAGGACAAAATATGCACGTTAAGTAAAAAAATATTCATAATTTCATTAGGCTTGCATGGATGTTTTTGTTCCACCTGTTGAAAATTGAAAATAACTTCCCCAGAGTTTATATACTTAAAGGGTCCATTCACAAAAAAAACTTACAGCAAATCCTCTAGAAATGTATGTTCTACAGATGTGCAGACTTTAAACCTACGGAAACAGCAGAGAGCTGTTTTCAAAACATCTCCTTTCAAACCAACCATTCAAAATCTCCCCCGACAACAAACTAACTGGGGCCAGTGCCTATACTGAACCACAGCAGCAGGCTGCAGTGGTGTAAGGCGATGGAGCAATCGGCAGCCCATGCACAAGCACGGCTGCAGTTCCAGGCGTCACCAGCCGGGTCGCTCTCACCTACAAAATATTTCCCCCCATTGCGCTTACTCAACAAAAAAAAACCCAAGGCCAAAACTCAGCACGGCTGCCCGCAAGTTGACCTAAAACACGTTTTTTTTTTGCACAAATTTGGGCACTCGAACGTTATCAGGCTCACGTGAAGCTCAATCATTCATTAATTTGTGCATTTTCTGTGAACGAATCGGGGTGTACTTTTACCAACACAAGGCAAAATGTCACGTTGCGCTCATAAAAACTTGTACAAGCATTATCAGGGGACCTAATTAACAAATGATTAGTTATAATACATTGCTCTCCTTGTGATGTATATTGTAATGATTAATCCTGTTGCGCAGTCAATGACACGACATTTAAAAGTGCATGTTAAATTATAAGTTGCCATGGCTCAGTAGTGTTTACAGATTTAAACTTACATGGCTTTCTTTATAGTTAAGTTGTACTTCTGTCACCGACTTAAACTGTCACCATGGGCAGTACCTTACACAAGTTAATTTTACACAAACACGTAAAGTAGCTGGATATTTTGGCAAATTGTCATCCTTGTACACGACCGCTCACCAGGCCTTTCCAAGTCTGGTTTTATCGCACACCAAGTGTCGCTTATGACCGTGACTGGACACTTGGCTCAGGTGTCACAACAGTGGAATGAATGGTGAATAACAGAGGTGCCCTGAAGGGGGAGTGAGGGTGTGCGGGAGGAGGAGAACGCACAGTGGCCATACCCCAACTAGCCGAAGCAAGCTCGTACACGAGCCACTAGATGGCTACATCAAGCCAGGCAAACTGCACACACCGGCCTCTTGAAACAAACCACGCACACATCTTCAGCGTCTGCCCGAGTAGATGCGAGCACACACACACACTTCTCACGACCCGCAGGCCCAACACAAGTGTTCTGCAATGGCATTTAATTATCGTTTCAAAAAATTATTCCACAGGAAATGTGCACTCAAGGTGTGAATGCAAGCTATTTTGTTCTGCGGTGAAAAACACATTAAAATTTTGTCAGTACTTAACACTGACAAATTTGCACTTAGGTCCACAACATCAGGGGAATACACACTAAACTCAGTCCACGAGTTAAAATTGTTTGGATGAAAATCAAATATAGTTTAGTTGGAGGGGGGTGGTAGATTTAACTGTTACAGATTTTATTTCAATGGAAAACCAGTTAAAATGTAATGTTCACACAATAGTATACATATATGAAAGCCCCGGTTAAATTCAATTACATCATGCTTTAAATGTCTCAAGGCAAAAGCAAACAATTATGTTGACCAAAATGGAAGGTCTTCCTAAAAAAGGGATGAAATTTATGAGCGAACACTGGAACCCTGTTTCTTTACAACGCCACTTTGACTAAATGTATTTTTTAACAAAGACTTCCGAACATAAACATTGAGGAGAGATGGGCTCCACAAGGTAACGCATTTTAAGTTTTATTCCGACTATTTCTTAATCAAGCGCGTTCCTTCACGGCCACTCAGAGACAACGTCGTCCGGGTTGAGACCAGAAAATGGCACCATATATACAGTGCCCCTTTAAGCGGCTGTGGCAGAGTAACAGCAGCAGGAGCAGCTCCACTGCCCATCCCCCACACGCGCCGCAACACCACACGGCCAGCCAGCGGCACCCGCCTGGGATTGGACGCACGCTGCCGAATTCAAAACGAGAATCCACCATGACGATTTGTGGCCCCGCCTCTCCCCTCCCCCTCGCTTCGCTCCCCTCCTCTCCTCCTCCTCCTCCTCCCGCCGCCCACACAACCCAGCCACCACACCCCCACCCCAATCCGAATCAACCTCCACCACCACCAGCCCGCTTCCAAACAGCCCCACCCTGGAATTGCCAGCGGGATGAATAACAATGAAAGTGAACCTCTGTGGCTTGGTTCGTGGATTCAAACTCCAAAGCCCGTGTAAGTTTTGAGGGGGGGGGGGTTTATTTTCTAAAACACGATGAGCCCATCATATCCTGGCTGGGGCTCAATTCTGCCCATCGTCCATCCGGGGTCAATACAATAATGGGCACATTGTCACGACGTCATACGAATAGACTCGCCCCTGCCATATGAACGAGGAATTACCACCATCGGGTCAGGGATGTTCAGTGTATGGGCACCACACCTCATTGGTCATTTGAGCAGGAAATCACCGACTTATTTTTCTAATAACCATGCAACCACCGAAAAACAGAATACATGTAATGTTTAGGTTTTATTTAATTAACGAGACAACTGAGACGTTATGTAATACTATTAAACATACCTAAATTATTAATTAATATTTTGTGCTGTTTTATATTAAAATGCGTGCATACTTGGAATGTCCTTCAAATTCTTCCAATTTCATTTCCTATCGTATTAATATTTACCTTTGTCAACTCGCACAATAAGAACACCAAATATGTATTCAAACATAAATTCTGTACCAAGCTCGTTTTACTTTTATTTATCCAAAGGCTTCCTTGCAGTAGACCTTGTGTTAGACTTCCACCTGGTAAAATAATATTCCTAATTTACTGGTCTGGTTACAATTGGCACTTTTTGTTAACCCAAAACATTTAAACTCAGATCAGCATTCTCAGCAGATTGACAAGTCCTTGTTAATATATACAAGTGGTACCACAATGTGTATATCAATGCCTGAGCAAGACGGCACAGAGGCTAAATAAGCATGAGAATTCGGGTCGCAACAACGGCCAACAGGCCATCACCTTTTAGTCCCACTCAGCCTTAAACAGAGCGTAGTCGGGGCATGTGCGTGGGCGCTCAAGATCCCATATCTACAGGGCTTCCCACATCCTTTAGCAGGGCTGCTAAAAAAAATGGAAGAGGTGGGTGAGTAGGGGGGGGAGGAGGTAGGGAAGCGAGAGCATTGGTGGGGGTGGTGGCAAGGGGTTTGGCTGGAACGGGAGCTGGGGGTAGATGAAGGGGAGGGGTGGGCAGGGTTGTGAGCGTGCGTGCGAGCAAGCGCAAGTTCGTCTGTCTGAATGATAGAACTATTACCCGGCTAAGCCAAGCCTGCTGCCTGCTTCTAATCAGCCCGCTCAGCTGCGTGCTGTATTTGTGATGCCCCGCACTGCATGTCTACACGCCGCAGGTGCATGGCTTCCCAACGACTTATCTCTAGCCAATTCTTATTATGCTGCAGTCCTCAGAGACACTGCATGCGCCAAGAAAACAAACGTAGTGCATACGCAAGCATGCGCGTGCACACGCACGACTAACAGAAAGTGGCATTTAATTTGGGCAACAAGCCATAAATATGCACTATAAAGGTAACATTAAGGATACAACACATGCTACCAAGCATTCCGTTGAATTGTGACTCGACGACACATGCCAGCATGCAACTAGGATTCCCTGGTGTGCTCCACAGTCAGAAGGCGATGAATGCAAATCTCATAATCACTCCAGCATTAAGTAATGCAACAAAATATGAGTTATCTGCCTCACGTAGGCAGAATATAAACCAAAAAATAACTGGCAGCGAGACAAACTATGGGGCAGCACATACACGACCAATTAAACCCCACTCCAAAATAAAGAAAATAAATACAACATTTAATCAAATCGATTACGCATTTCCGCTCAGAAAAATACAAACAAATGCTTTTCCAGGAGCAACTTTAGTCAACTTCTGCAATGTATAAGCTGAGCAAACGGTATAACGGCACTTGAACTCATGTGTTTAAATCAAACCAGAACGGGTTGCTTAAGTGCCAAGGCACAGAGGGCCAATAGATAGCGTGTTAACTGCATTGCAGCACTGATTATGAATTCAATTCACCGTTTTTGCCACACCTGACACACGTGTCCACAAGGCTTGCGCACGTGGCAATAACAGATAAAAATGATGCGCGTTTAATTCGCTGCTTGTAATCAGAGGAACAAGCCAACTGGGAGTTTTAAGGCCCTGCAGACAGGGAGATGCAGGCCTGCCTCCTGAGCACCACCTTTGCCACGTTGTAAAGAGGTAATCGCTGGCAAAACGTGCTTGTTGTCAGGGAACCATAAAAAAGGTCTCTGCAATCTGGGGACACTACAATGATAATTCATAACTACATGGCATTGCAAACAATATCGGAGCCATTCAATCGTTCAAAATCTGCACGATTTTGATTTAGCCGTAGTAATTGCGATCCATTTTGGCATACGAACGCATACACTGAAGAATTAGTTTTGTTCTATAATTTAATGGTTCCAAGCGTTTGCTCCCTTCTCAGAATATACTACAATGCTATGTTAATTTATATTTGTTTTACAGTTTAAAGTAATGTACCTGCAGCTTAAGGATTTCGGCCGTTGACATCAACAGCTC